GACCAGCCGGAGAACAGAAACAACTTCGACTTGTGGGAAGAGCTTCTGCGGTTTCGCCAGCGCCGCTATGGGGATAAAGGGACGGTTGATATATGGGAGGCCTTGACAGTACGGGTGGATGGAGTCTGTCTTCCCGTAACCGGGCCGCGCGCAGATTTCTTCTGGAAGAGCTTTGTGGATCTTGGGCTGAAACGGGAGCTTCTCCTCAAAGAAGTTGTGAGCTACGCTGTCAGTCTCTGTGAACGGGAAGGCGATTGCTGGTCCCAACTGTACGAACGCGTTGTGGGTGGGCTCCTCGACCGCGGAATGTCGAACCAGGCCGTTGAATACCACCGTCAGCTTCAAAATACCCACTTCAGGAACCCCGATGACTTGCTGAAGATTCTTCCGTTGGCTCTATCTCCATCATCTTCCGCCAGGACGCTCCCGATTACCCTGAACGGATTCCAAGAAGAGACACCCTCTCATCCCGGAATCAAGGCCTTCAATGATATGTGCCGTACAACAGATGGCCATTCCATCTGGTCACCTGTGATCACGACATTCTTGCGGCATGGCTATGGGACCGAGGCATTTAAGATGCATGATTTTTTGGTCCAACGCGGGGACCATCCTCGGAGTCTCGAGGAGATGCAGCCGTTGTTGAATTGGGCGTACCATATCTCGAAGAAGAGAGCATATAAGCGACTGCAAGAATATGCCGATCAAAGGTTTCTGGCTGAGACATCCGCTGAAGGATCAGAGGAAAACGCAGAGAATATACCAGAAGAAAAGCCTCTCAAGGACGATATGGGCGCCCGGTTGTTCGCCACTCAAGCTCTCAATATTGAAACTATCATTGCTGGCCTAAAAATGTTCGGCGTCTCAGCAATTGGTCCACGCACGCTGCGTGAGATGGCTGCGAGAGCAAAGGACAGCCACGATATTCTGGAGAAGCTGAAAAAACTCAAGCAATCTGGCATCTCAGTGGGAAACAGCGTCTTTTCACAGTTGATCCAAAAGCTGGCAGCGCAAAACCGCTCTATCCTCCTTTCCGACCTTCTCTCTAGCGACCAACATCCCGACGCGGTGGAGGACGCCCGCGTGCAGGAGTCGCTTCTCGTTTCATACTACATCGCAAAGGACTCGCGGCAGTACAACTTGTCATTGGCCATCCTCACGGAAATCCTTCCAGACGGACAGAGCCTCTATGACGTTCATTTTCGAAAACATGTTGCTGCCGCGGAATGGCGTACGGCATCCAAGATTGTGGATGAAATGACTCTCTGTGGCAAGATCATGAGCCAGGACAGCATGGAGTTTATGGTCCAGCAAGCTCTCACACCTCGTCGGGTGGGACACCGTCCACCCACACGTCCAGGAATTTCCGACCGCGATGAGGTTCTTTTCGTTTTCAAGATCCTGCAGCGTGTGGTTCCCGCTGGGACCAACGTCAGTAGCTCGATCTGGGTGGAACTGCTGAAGCGCCTAGGCATGGGGCACTACTGGAGCGAACTGCAAGAATGCTGTCGATGGCTGGCCCGTCAGTATGGGCCTCATGCAGAGCGGTATCAACAGCTTTGGGCGAACCGTTCTCCCTCCCGACCAGCCTCACTGCGGCCGAAGTATGGCGGAGACCAACTCATGCTCGATCTCATTTTCAGCCCCAAAATGCAATACGCCATTGTGGAATGGGGCTTTCAGCAGCGCATCCATCCCGAGACGAATCCGCAGCAGCTCGTTCCGTGGGTGCGTGGCATTCTCCTCCTCCGAGAGCTGGAGCAGGCCGGTGTCCGACTCCGCGAAGCCTGGATTCGCCGCGCGTGTCGATCCCGCCTCGCCGTGCTCTTTAATCAACCTGGACTCTCTGCGCGCCGCCTCAACCGCAGAGTGCGCGAGTCCAACCTGTGGAGCCCGGAGCGGTTGATACTGGATATTTTTCGCGCCTGGGGCAAGTCGTCGCTGTTTGGCGGGTTGGAGTCGAGACCGGAGCTCTTGGCGTATCCGCACCGGTCGCCCTTGTCGCTGCGCCGCACAGCCCGGGTGAAGTGGAGAGGACCATACGTCAGGAGGAAATATACTACTTTCTAGGCAGCGTGCGATGTACATAGATCCGCATCAACCATTATCGATAACAGCCCTCTCCTCGCGTCCGAGTGTTTGTTTACTTGGCCTACGCGGCCTGAACAGCAAGAATTCCCTGTCTGCAATACGCTATTTAGCATAGCACATAATAATAATCCGCCGTCCTGCGTAATTGTCCTTCTAGGCAGTGTCGTTCTTGCAGGCCCACCCGTCTGAAACCGCGAAATAAAAATAGTTGAGACGGCAACGCGGCCTGGACCCAGTGGGGATCGCCACCTTTAATTCATTCCACCTCCCTTTTAACTGTTCGTCGACTCCCAGTATTTCCTACATCCCTCTGTGTTTCTTCTATACCTCAGTGCAATCAATAAACAGACCATGCGCGCCCTCCGCCTTCTGGCCCTGCTGCCCTTCGCAGCAGCCGCCCACCTTCACGCCGCACGCTCCTCCACAACCGCCTGCAACAACTCCCCAGCGCTATGCTCCAAGTCCTACGGCGAGATCACGCATCTCGGCGCGCATGACAGCCCCTTTGTGCACAGCTCGGCGACGGGCAACTCATTGGCGGGCGACCAGTATGCGACCCGTGGTTACTCATTCTCCGAGATTCGCAGACTGACGCGCGGCACCACAGATACTACGACACCACGACACAGCTCGATTCCGGCGTTCGGCTGGTCACGGCGCAGGTGCACAAGAGTAATGGCGAGTGGCGGTTGTGCCATACTCTCTGCGAGCTGATGGATGCTGGGCTGTTGAGCACTTGGCTGGGGAAGATTAAGGCGTGGTTGGATGATAATCCGAACGATGGTGGGTAACTACTATTCTCTGGTAACCAAGGGGCAAAGCTAACCAGCTCATCATTTTTTAGTTGTCACCGTGTTGCTGGTCAACTCGGACAGTGCAACCGCGTCCGAACTGCACGCGCAGTTCCAAACCGCCAATATCACCGACTACGCGTACGAGCCCAAGTCGTCGAGCTCCGCGCCATCCTCCTGGCCCACGCTGCAGGAGATGATCGACGATGGCAAGCGGCTGGTGACCTTCGTTGCATCGATCGACGCCTCCGAGGAAGCGCCGTACCTGATGGACGAGTGGACGTACCTCTGGGAGAATCCGTACGACGTCTCGTCGCCGACGAATTTCTCGTGCGTGCCGAACCGCCCCCTGCCGTGGCAGGCGACATCTCTAAAGCGCTGTCGTCGGATCGGCTCCCGCTGATGAACCACTTCCTGTACTCTGAGGATCTGTCGTTCATTGGGGTCGAGTATCCGAATGCGAGCTACGTGTCCACGACGAACGCGCCGTCTGGCGGCGTGGGGAATCTGGGCAGCACGGCGACGAAGTGTAAGAGTGCTTGGGGTGGGCGCCAGCCGACTTTTATTCTGGTTGATTTCTTCAACAAGGGCCCGGCTATTGATACCGTCGACAGCCTGAACAACGTAACCAACGCTGTTGGCCGTCCTTCGGGTTCGGCGTCTAACTCGACGCATTCCAGCGCTGGTTCGACGACGGGTAACGTGTTCACAGCCCTCGTGCACCTGGCCAAGTCCGCTCGCTCGGGCGCCACCCCGTCCATTGGCAATTGGGTCTGGGTTGGTGGGAACTGGGGGAGTCTTCTCGGTGGAGGGATCTCCTTTTAGGAAGGGTTCGTTTTATTGTTTTGTCTTTCCGGCTTTCTTCATGTTCTCTTTCTTTTTGTTGTCTCCTTGGAGCACGGGTCTCAGGATATGGACCGGTGCATAGAGTATAGCTCCGGGTATTGTTATGGCCACTTGGGATCAATGGGGGATTGGACTGGCGTTTGGTATATGGATTAATGGATTCCGGCTGGATATTGATGAAAGCGCCTGGTATTTTGTTTTGTATTCGTGTAGACGAATAAGGAAATGACCCATCGATATAGCTACATTTACTCTTTACCCAGCAGCTGCCGGACCTTATTAACCTTATCCTCCGCCGTCTGCAATTTATCAGTCCTATATGAATAAAAATGTTAGAATTTCTCTTAAGGTCGCGCGTCATAGATAGATAAGATCAACACAGAACAAAAACGCACCTCGATCCAGATCGAATATCCGACTGGATTCGCACAACCCCCTGCTCGTGAAGGAGGGTATGCGCCTGTCCGATCACCTGATGAACGCGGTCCCACGATCCCTCTTTAGAAGCCAAGTCAAGTTCAAGTGGTCAGCAATTAGCGGGGCATGTAAGAAAGCAACCAAGCAAGGCATGCGTGCGTACCGAGTGTCGTGCCCGCCGAATGCATCGTGTATTTCACCCCAGACTGCTCGATCAGGCGCTGGACGTCGGCGACCTGAGCGGAGACTGAGGGGGAGGATGTGCCGATCTGGGGAAGGGATTATTAATAATTGGTGAGTGATGACCGGAGATCAAAATGAGATGGAATTATTACCGGGATCAGGCAGAAGTCGGCGGTGCAGTGGGATGGCGTGGGAAGGGAATTCATGCTGAAGGTGAGGCTGGGGGTGAGGCTGAGGGAGAAAGGAACAAGCTGATTGCATCCAATAAATAAGTGATAGGATGACGTGCACTAAAACGGCGCCGGTGATGGACCCCGGGGTGAGCGCCACTGATCGACCGAATCTTCGCTAAACCCTGTCTTTTCTTTCCTGTGTCTTTTTCTTCTGTCCTTTCTGAAACCACAAACCAGGGGAGACACACATCCGCATTCACTCATCCTCCCGCCGCGGGGGATCGGCGCAACTCCAAAAACCAACTCCGACGATCTTCTTGGCCCCTTCCTTATCATTCATTCATGACGTGCATGAGCGATCCTGGTGGCTGCTTGTCATGACTTAATTTCCCATCTACAATATTATTCTGACCGTCCACCTCGGCGATTCGCTTCTTTCGGACCGGGGGCAGACAAGCTATGCTCTTGCGCGCCTCGCTTATTCTGCTCGCCACTCCGGATGACCAAACCCCATCCTTTTGAGCTCCCCGCGGGGATTCAGCTCCTCTACCTCGCCGAGGGCGGCGCCAATGTCATTTACCGCTTTGTTTCGTCTGCGCCGGCCAAGTCCGCGCTCGCGGTGAAAAGATCGCTTTCCACCGCGGGTATCGAGACGTGCAGTCCCGTGCCTCCTCGGCTAAGAGGGAAATTGCTGCGTCTGCGTAAAGAGACCAGGGCCGATATTCCGTACCAGGAGACCGTGCGCAATTTCGACAATATTATCAGACCGCTCTTCAGGCCGGAAGAGCTAGTTGATCAGACTCTAATCCGACTGCCCGAGGGGCTGATCCAGCGCTGCAATGAACAGCTCCGTCTTGCGGAAATCAACGGTCTACGCTCTTCAAAGCGCCATGGCGGCTATCTTTGTCTGAATGAGCCCTTTGGTCTTCTCATCACCGACATGACCGCGGCAGACGACCCTCGAGCCAGCATGGCCGAGCTGAAACCAAAGTGGCTTACGCAGTCGCCCTCAGCGCCCTCGACGGCACGCCGGTGCCGCACGTGCGCGTTGAGGGAGATGAAGGATCACGACTCACGGAGTGGGCAGCAGACAGACCACCATCGATCCTTTTGTCCGTTGGATTTGGTCTCGGAGCAGTTCGAGAATGTGTTCCGTGCAACGGCATTTATCAAAGGATGCGGGGATCGCGCGCAGCTAGCCCGCATATTGTACCGCAACCCGACTCTTCTGAAATTGCAGTCGCATCAGAAAGCCATGAAGAATGTCGGATTACATGGTCCGCCGCCACAATCGCGGGAGGTGTCTGTTGCGATGACGCTCAGGGATTGTACGATGTTCATTAAAGTGAGTCTGCTTGGGTCTGTGTTTGTTGTAGTCTGACACATGTACAAGATTCCCCGTGACGACAAAGCCCCCGTCGAAATCCGCCTCGGCGATCTCGACATGAAAGCTGGCCCAGGCGGCAAAGCCGAGTACTGGCTGGATGTGGAGACACAGCTCATTAACGGAGGCTGGTATCGAGGCGTGAACAGCAGTCAAGAGCGTAGCGAGTGCGCTCTGCAGAGCTCGAGGAGATCTACTTCCTCGACATAAATCGCCTTTTCTTTCGTTGAACCTCGTTCTTGAATTGATACGGGCCGGCTGACACAGGCCCGTCAAACTGCACTAATCTAGTTCTCTACCCGACAAGGTAAACGTGCTTGGGAGAGATGTTTATTTTGTATTACCCAGTAATGTTGTTTATACTGCGATTCAGATCGATGTCTTTGGGTGGTTCTCTGATTCTTGTTCTCTGGATTATGTTTAATGGGTGGCTGTCTGAGTTTATTCATATTATTGTTATGAAGTATCTATTGACTATTCCATACACCTTCCAATGGAATATTTCTATCATTTTTCTTAACCTTTTCATGCACGAACACTTGTTCATCTCATTTTAGACCTCGAGTTGTATAGATCGACAGCCCTTCATTGCTGCCTCAGGCTGTAAACATGACTCAAAACAACCCCCCTCTTGACTCGTGCGTGTGGTGTAACTCCTTGACGAAAGCGACCTTTACCACCAATCCTTGATACAAAGACATGCAGCCAGGAATCGGTATTGGCGTTTTTGTTTATAATGCCGAAGGCAAATTCATCCTAGGCAAGCGACAGGGGAGTATTGGCGCAGGTCTGTCGAGGACCTAAAGCAATCGTATCTTAGCTGACACATTTATTTCAGGAACATGGGCGCTCCCGGGTGGACACCTTGAAATTGGCGAGTCATTTGAAGACTGCGCGGCGCGGGAGGTGCGCGAAGAGACGGGCCTGGATACCCAGGGCCTGGAGTTCCTGACGGCCACCAACAGCGTCATGGCGAAGGAAGGCAAACACTACGTCACGATCTTCATGGGGGCCTATCTATCCGACAAGAGTGCACAACCCCAGGTAGGTTTAGGACATACTGCTCTTGTTAGTTAGCGTTTGATACTCACAAATCGCAAGCTCCTCGAGCCTGAGAAGTGCGCGGGATGGGACTGGGTAAGCTGGGACGATCTCCGCGCAGATGGCGAGAAGGAGATAGCATCTAACGAGCTGGGATTGGATGATCGACGGCTTTTCCAGCCTATCCTGGATTTGATGCGGCAGCGGCCGAAATTTCAAGCACATCCAAACAGGTAGAAGTTGGAGCAAACTGGCTACACAAGACATCGATCCAATCTGTTGTTTGATCCATCATCTGAATAGCTATTGATCGAGTCAGTTATTCATGTCTATACTCGGGATTTCGGATAGTATTTCACAAAGATACATCAATGGAATATTGATTGCGGTAGTGAAACAGAAAGTTGATGGCTTGCGAAGAACGAATGACCTTGGCAGTGGCCTAATTCTAATTCCCGCCAATCCTTCCCCGCGTAGGGTGAATCCTGAGAGTCACTACAACATATTATTAGGCGTAGGTGAGACTGTCGGCCCGCCCTGGCCCCAAGAAGCGGAATAATCGACGTGCGTTCAACAAGCATGGCTTAGAGGCTGCCACTATTTTTAATTTGCATGGTAGATAGGAAGTTTTACAATGCCGCTGGGCCATCTCCGGCCTGATCCAATAATAAAATAGTCATCACTAGTGGCAAGCATGCAAGGCTATTTGTAAACACATATGCTACTTCGACAATTCAACTCGCACCAAAGATCCAGTCCTCCACAATAACGGCAATGATGACAATCTGTTCCATAGTCAGTTCAGATTGGTGAACAACCTATCGGAAAGCTTACCAGCGACAGGTCCACACCCGGAGTAACGATCACATCCAGTGCAGGCCGATACCCTTGGCGCGAACCGCGCATCAAGGCCAACTTTTCATTATGCTGGATACTTTCGCGCACCTCGGCGACCTTCCGATCGCCATCCACAATATCGAACAGTGCTAAGGCATTTCCGTGTCGCTCGACCTGAAGCGTGAGCTTCTTCTCCTGCTCGCTCTTGTTGTGAATGGCTGCTGCGTTCTCAAACGTGATGTTAAAGTTGCCGGCCGAGGCCGAACTGAGTGACCACCGCGGTGTGCCCATGGCTATACTGCCATTATTGCTGCCGGGCAACGAAACGGACCAGATATTGGTGAATGCAATCCTGCGATGCAGCTCGAACAAAGGCAATCCCGAGGCGTCGCGGAACTCGCGACATGATCGATCATTATATTTCCTTCCTGTCACGGTAAATTGTGGCGATCCATCTTCATCTGTGATTCTATATGCCACCGCCGATTTGGGGCGGCCTTCTGGCCGGAGCACGAGGCGGGTTTTCGAGGCTGCAATAAGTTCCTTGCGAATCGCGATATGGCGCACTGGAGATCTTAGGGTTTTACGCGGCTTCCGGGAGGATACTTGGGCTATGCGATGCTCGTAGTATGCAGTCGTCATTTTGTTATCGTAGTTGGGAGTTGTAAGAGGAGCAATGAGGGGCAGCCTTTATATCTGCGGGGTTGGGTGAATAGGTGAAATGGCGTGAGGCATTTGGATATCTTAAGCGATAACTTCATTGGCTGATGCTGTCTGTGCAACCCCTCCGAGTAGACAGCCAAGGGACGCCTTGCACGCCACTTTAAACGAGGTTGTGGCTGTGTAAGATACGTGATGAGACAACGATAATTACTGCGATGGGTTTATTTTGATGTAGCTGCCCCCCTATGTTTGATATTGTATGTTAGATAGTCTTACCATTGTCTTGGTCTAGTAAACCAATCCTCCGACTTATGATGAGGGCGAGTTACAGTTAGCGCTCTGTCAACCTGTGTGCATACTCTCGCGCCCCCGCACCTATTATTCTCTCTCTTTTCTCTCCGACAAAAACACCCCGTAGCGGAAGTAATTTGGTTTTATGCTTCACATATGACGCTCCCGCTCTACATCAGCCCTTGCATTCACATTCCCCCTGGCGACCTCCATCCGCCGCCACACGAACGGCCACTCCAAATCCAAATCGAAGGTCCCTTAAGTCTCGATACAAAGGCTCCTTCCCAATCTAACATGGCGTTTACGCATGGGATACTCAGACTTTCCACAGCCAGCGGGTCCGGAGCTGGCGAAGTCGGCATATCAACAAATATATCTGCGGGATGTTTCAGCTTACCTTCCTGGTGACCTGGTTATGCGGGATGAGTATTTAGGCTGGGTAATCAAGGAACCTCCTCCGTTTACGTGAGTATATACATAGCTATATTTCTCTCTCTAGTAAAGATCACTTTCCACCTTTAACTAACCCGCCTCTAGAGAAAAGGTTGCTTGAGGATAGAAAGATTCGAGATAAATTCAGGCACTGCTAACGCCTCCATGGATATTGAGTGGCCTCCCACCATGTTCCCATTGCGTCAGTTGATTGGCAGGCAACCTACTGCACCTTAGTTGCCAATGGCGAGGTGTCTAGTCTTACAAGCTAAACCCTCCAGTGTCAACTTGATCGAAGGTCCTCTAGTCTCGATTCAAAGCGATTTCCTGCAACAACAGTAAATGTTTTTATATGCTAATAAACTAATCTCAACGCTAACCTTTCAATGCACTTCACGGAGGGCTGTAGAAAAATTCAAACGATCAAAAGAAACGTGTTGCAATTTAAACTTTTCATGGTCGACGTTACCACCCAACATGCTTTTTACATAATGGCTGGATCCCTAGTTGGAGTAGTTGGGGTACTCAGGAACTTCTATACTCAACGCCAGAATTTCTCTTACCCCCATTTTATTCCATTGACTTTAATGAGCATAATGGTTTTACATAATTCGTCCCAAAGACGCACTGGAGTCGGCTGACTCGTGGTAGTGCGGGTTGACAATTTATTCACTGCATTTCGCTCTTTGCTTTCCTCCTGGTCTGAAAAAATAAATATCGTTGCTTGCCCAGGTATCAGCCAAAATGGTTCGCAACATCCACGTCGCCGTTCTCGATGTCGACATCCCAGCACGTATTCTCTACGAGGCTCGCGGGCTTTGCAGCGCACACTTTCGCAATATCCTCCAAGAGACCGCTGGACAGATCAACAAAAGCGAATTAGCGAGCGACAATCCTATCAATATCAGCGTTACTCCATACGACATTCGAGGAGGCCACTACCCCGATTTCCGCAAGATGCGTGGCCATCTCGATCAGATCCAATGGCCAGAAACGTCTCCCATTGACGCCATTCTGATCACTGGAGGCGCACCAGGAGTGTACGAAATGGACCAGTCGCCTTGGATGCAAACCCTAGCGAAATTTCTCAAAGCGGTCTACGATCAATACCCAAAAGTCCGGATCCTGGGCACCTGTTTCGGCCATCAGCTGATCTCGCACGTCCTGGTCCGCGATCCGAAGGACCCCGTGCGGGACGTATTTGTCGAGAAATGCCCCCTCGGAAGAGAAGTCGGTGTCTACACCGTTAAGCTTGAAGATGCATTCATTCGATCATTCCCAGGAGCACTGGGGCATCTTGCACAAGGCCAACTACGCATCCAAATGTTCCACGGTGACCGTGTGATGGCCGTGGAAAAAGGCCAGGCTGTGACTCTTACCGACTCGCCGCCAGTGTCTCTGCCGGCACCCTGGATCAATGTGGGCAGCACACCAATCTGCCCCATTCAAGGACTGTATCATCCCGGGAGAGTACTGTCTGTGCAAGGGCACTATGAACTCGACGCGTTTGGAATGCAGAAGATGTGTTTGGATTCTGCACCGCGGATGCAGTGGAAGCAGTCGAAGTTGGCGCTGTTTTTGGAACAAATTGGGCCTGACTTCGAAGAACGACAGGATGATGCGAGAGCGTTTGCGTCTGCGGTGGTTTGCTTTTTGGCGGGAGTGGAATTCTGACTATTTACTGCACATAAAAAGTTGACAGCATCGATCGTACTTTCAAGATTTCAACAGATCTATTTTTGGACCGAAGATATTATCAAGAAGTTCAAACCAAATCGTGAATTGAAAACTTTGAGTCTGGCGAGTTTTAGGGTAAAATAAGGGTCCGTGCCAGCTGGAGACTCCCTGCGACTATTTTAACACCCCTCAGGCTATTAGGCCACCCTCTCTACTCTAGGGCAGCAATGGATCACAGCAATTGGTCGAATCAGAAGTAACTTTGTGGGAAGGTCAGAACCCGACCATTCGCATCTAGTTAATCAAAAGTAAGCATGGCCCCCACAAAACGCTCAGGCCACCCATCCTTCCTTCCTTCCTTCAAATAAATACCGCTACGTTAGCTTAATTTCATTTCATTTTCTCCCCTTGAGCGTTTCACTGCATATTGTCTTCTCTCGCTGCTTTATATCATTTCAAAATGACTTGGTCCAAACCAACCCTCATCTTCGCGCATGGCGCATGGCATCAGGCCGACTGTTTCACGCAGACCATCACAGCACTAGAGCAAGAAGGTTATCACTGCATTGCCCCTCAGCTTCAAATGAGCGGCACACCCGAGCCTGTTTCTTCCTTAGCCAGCACTGTTAGCCAGGTTCAAGATATTATCGTGGCCGAGACCACCAAAGGCAACGACGTGATCATGGTCAACCACTCCTTTGGCGGCATCGTGGGCTGCAGCGCTGTGAAGGGATTCACCGCGAAGGACTCGTCGAAACTAGGCTCAGCTAAGGGGCAAGTTGTGGGTATCATTGAACTCTGTGCCTTTATGGTCCCATCGAATGTATCCCTTCGCGACCTGGTTGCAAGCGGACCCTCTCCGTTTCGCACTCATACCTCTCCAGAAGGGTGGGAGATCATTGACGAAGACACAATCGACCTGTTCTACAACGACTTGCCGGTTGAGAAGGCTAAGCATTGGCAAAGCCGTCTTGTGAATCATTCAGCGGCGACCTTCAGTGATAGTGATAGTATCTATGCTGGGTGGGCTGATGTTCCGGTCTGGTATCTTCACTGTACGACGGATAATGCAATGAATATTCAGGCACAGGAGGCGATGGTTGCAGGCGCAAAGCAAGCTGGCGCTTCGGTTACGACCAAGACACTGCAGGCGGGGCATAGTCCTTTCTTGAGCAAGGTGGATGAGACGGTGGAGTTTATTCGTGAAGCTTGTGAGGCTCTCGCTTAAATGTGGTAGATGGATGCCTGAGAATGGTTGTATATTCGCTTATACATAGCTAAAGCTTCCTCGTGCGCTTTTCCATGTCTGGTGCAGGAACCGTGGCTATCGGATATGACTAGGGAGAGAAAGGCAAGCTAGAAAAGAGTGATGGTATGTTCAAATTTGTATATTGTTGATCAATTTCATATCTAAAAGCTTCTTTTATACATTGGTTCCACAATTCTTCCACTCGGGATCGGTAGGATGATGTCACCACTGAAAACAAGTAAAACAGGGATAGGGCATGCACCCTAGGCCCTAGATCGCAACACATTTATCAGATCTGCACAAGAAAATTCCACTAAACCCTTTCAACTCCCGAAAAAGGTGCCCATCTTTGTTGGTAACATGTAAAACTGACAATTTGATGCCTGATTCGGCAGGGCACTGAACATCAAGACCTATCGCTCTTGGCCAGCAGAGACAGATCGACGGTCGGAAGAACTAGAGATCAAATTCTAGTTTGGGCTGAACAATTTGCTAAACTGATGCTTAGCTCTACTGGAAAAGATATCCGCCCCAACAGCAATGGCTCCCGCCAGCCCAGATATCCATCCCCACTGGCGTGGAGCTTCCTAGTATAGGTACGTGTGCAACTGTTTCTTATTGTTTCATTCCCTATTGCAAACGCGATATGAATGCGAGGATGAGCTTCTCTCTTGCCGAAAAGCTTCACTGCATGGTGAAAATTTCTACACCTTTTCCAAGTTTCAAGACGGGTCTCTGAGTTACGAAAGCATACGCTATTCTTATGGCATTCATTTAATGATGGGAGCTAACAAGAATGATTGTATTTCAGGGACCATGAACTGTAAACGACTTATTCAACATTTGCTTCGATACTAGGGGTGCCTTAAAGGGGGGTGGTTTAGGGTTATCGTGCCTCGATGGGAAACAAGTTCAAGGTTGCTTGTGAGAGATTTAGCATGGAGGCAAGCCAAGGAAGTGCCAGAGCTGGCGATAGCATGATCATTCAATACGCCGTTACATAGCGGATGGCATCTATACACCAACGGCTTGTAAGCAACCAAGTCTTTTGCCGAGAGTGGGGCCTATGTCGCCGCCATCGGATATACGGAATAAACGCCACCGCTTAGGAGAGAAAGCAGTAGGTCTGTTGGGTCGAGAAAATTCCATGAAGTCCAACAGGAACTGATAACGTAGCACTCACCGACCACATCAGCAGCGGGGCTAACTAACTACTGAATAATCATGCGTTGATAATCAGAACACTCGCCCGCGCAACGCCGAATCTAGACTCGGAAAGCTTGGCATCCGCTTTGTCATGCTGATCAAAGCCGGGATTATTATTCAGCGGATCTGGCTTAATTCCGCGATTGCCCTTCTAGGATATGGTACCACTTGTCTGGACCGTGGGAGGAAAAAACAAAAAAAAGGGGAACAGGCAGGAACGAAGCACGCCACTCGGATAACCGCTATTTCTAAGGATTATTTCATATCATTGGATACACTACCTGTGTCCAATTGAAGACTTAAAAACCCGGCACGGCTCGTGCTACAGAACCGCTCGAATTGCATATAAAAAGGACACCACCATGGCAAGACTCCTTCGATCGTTTTCCAAGAATCTCCACTTCCTACAGGGCTCCACCACCCCCAAAGCTATATCAGTGCCCTCTCCCTCCCCAGTATCCCGCTTGTCTCTTACATCCTCACACTTCCGTGCTTTTTCTTCTTCTTCTCCCCACAACAATCACACACCCACAACCACAAACATGACGGTCGAATCCCTCGTGCAATTGGCGCAGAACCGCCGCACCATCTACCAGCTGGGCCGGAACAGCCCTGTGCCCGACTCCAAGGTCGAGGAGCTGGTCGAAGCCGCCATCCTGAATGTCCCCAGCTCGTTCAACACCCAGTCCACCCGTATCGTCGTGCTGCTGCACGCCGAGCACGAGAAGCTGTGGGACATTGCCGCTGAGGCCATGGGCGGTCTCGTCATGTCCGGTGCCGTCCCCGAGGAGATGTTCAAGAACCAGACTCTGCCCAAGCTGCAGGGCTTCAAGAAGGCCTACGGCACTGTACGTTTCCTCTCCTACCATATCCCCCCAAAATACCTTACAAATGTAACCAAAACTAATACAAATCTCCCCCCAAAATAGATCCTCTTCTTCGAAGACCCTGCCCACATCAAGCCCTTCCAAGAGAAGTTCGCCGCCTTCGCGCACCACTTCGAGCCGTGGGCCGACCACTCCAACGCCATGCACCAGTACTTCATGTGGACGGGCCTCGAGGCCCTGGGTTTCGGCGCAAACCTGCAGCACTACAACCCGCTGATCGACTCTGCTGTCGCGAAGGAGTGGAACCTGCCTACCGAGTGGCGCCTCGTTGCGCAGATGGTCTTCGGTAGCCCTGAGGCCCCTGCGGGTGAGAAGACCCAGAAGCCTATTGAGGAGCGGGTTAAGGTGTTTGGCAAGCAGTAAATACGTATTGTGGAAATATTGAGTTGGGATGCTGTCACGATATCATGTCTGGGTGGTTTTTTGGTTGTGCATTAATGTGGATGCGTGTTAGATAGGCGCTGCTGCATTATAATAGACCTACTTGCATTATACTTCGTGTCATTGTCTTTTTGTCTTTGTTCTCTGATTACAGTTAGTAGACGGTATAGGATCCTGGACGACTTTGGAGTATAAGAAAACCTATGTCTAACCTCGAGAAAGCATTCAACTCACTCGACGTCGCCTTGCATATCTTAAAAAGTGACATTGTCCGTGCGAATTGATACAAGTCGGACAGAAACTGACTTTAACAGTGACATAGGGGAAGTACTGTTTACAGTAATCAACAACCTGGAAACCATAGACAACGTTAAGGATATGTATAGGCTATATACAACCTGATGAACAGTGCCGGCATCCTATCCAAACCCCAGAAGCACAAGAAGAGGGTTCTCCCCTCCTATCAAAGCCGACCTCATCTACCTCGGCGCAGCATACCACAACTCCGGCGGATCCCCCAGACACTCACCAATGGGAACAGCTAAACGCCAAATCAATGTCAGCATCTCCAATCCACCACCGCTCAAAACCAAAAACCAGGGAATAGGAGTGGGTGGAACTTACGAACCAACCCCCTAGCCTCAATCTCATTCAACATATTCTCCACCAGCACATTAACAGTGTTATAATGCACATCATGCGCCAGCACAACCGTGCCACCGGCATTCAGCTCAGCCTTAAACTTCTCAAAACTCAGCCAGATCTGGCCGGCATCGTCATGCTCGTAGTCCTTGGTATCGATACTCGCTCCGATAACATGGTATCCCAGCTCGGTCATGACGGAAAGCGCGAGAGGACTGAACATCAGAAAGGGCATGCGCATGTAGCGCGGGATGACGCCGACAATACTCGCGAAGGCGTCTTCGAGTTGCGTCATTTGTGATACTATCCCTGCGTGATCGAGGGTGAAGAGGTAGGGGTGGCTCCATCTAGGTTGGGTTGGATTAGTTTAGGATATATATGGGACAAATAATGGAGAGGAAGTACGTGTGCGAGGCGAGTTGGTGGCCCTCGGCCATTGCGCGGCGCATCACATCCGCGTACTCGTGGATATTGCCCTTGAGCGCGCCGTTCAGGAAGAAGGTTGCGCGGGCGCCGCGTTGAGAGAGGGTGTCGAGGATTTGCGGTGTGTAGATGTATGGTCCGTCATCGAAGGTGAGGGCGACTGTGCCTGGCACGATACAGTGATCGATCACAGCGCCGATGGGCACTTGTGAGATGGTTGCATGAACAGTGTCATTGGATAGAAGGGACGAGAGGGACCAGGTCTTGGGGATGGAGGCGGCTGCGGAGAAGATAGTGAAGGAAAGGACTGCGGTCAAGAAGGTAAGAACCTGCATGGTGAGTAAGGGATAGTTGGACACTGAGAGTGAGGGCTGTTTGGAGGTAACGATGAGGGAGCAGTTAGGGTTGGAGTGAAGGAGGAAACATGGAGGGCGGAGGACAAGAGGGAATATCTCCATCGCGGCTGCCATTTGGTGGTTAACTAGTACATCGGAGAAGATCGATATATATGAATACAAGCAAGACACGAACGAGATGAAAAAGCAAACGGTCAGCTCGCCCTTTAGCCGGTTTTTAGCCGACAATAAGAATCTGGGCCAGATCAAAATAGAATGCCCCATTGTCCATCTACCCCCTCTTGGAGTACTTCTTCATCGACTTCCGCTGGCCCTTCTGGCTCTCGCGATCCAGGAACTTGCGCTGCTCGTCCGCAGTCATGCTCCGGAGCAGGCGGTCCCGCTCCTCCTTCTTGATCTTCTCCGCGGCAATCTTGCGCTCCTCGGCCTTGTCCTCCTCTTCGAGGCGACGTAGCTTCTTGATCTCTTCCTCACGGGCGTTGCGGATCTTGCGCATCACCTCGCCGCGGAAGTGGGCAGAGGCGACCAATCGGTCGCCAAAGCGCAGGAACTGCGTAAACAGGGGCAAGGTTGAGGCATAGCCGGCAACAGAGGAGGCGAGGTTGACGGACAGCTGGACGCGCTTCCTCGGGACGGTCTCCTCAATCCTGTAGCAAACACCCATGGGTTAGGTCCGTCCAGAAAAAAAAAAAAAAAAAAAAAAAAAGGCAAGGGCAGAAACATACTTGGTAGGCTTGTCCAGAGGCTGGTCCGTCACAATCAGATACTCGAAGTCGCTACCCGCTTCCTCAATGGCCTTGATCAGTTCGGGGGTGAGGAGGATATCGCTGATCTCAGCGCTCTCGGTCATGACCGTGACCCACGGGGGGAGCTTGGGGTTATCCTTGGTGAAGGTCATCGAAGCGTCGTAGCGATCGGTGCGGAACTTCTTCATGTGGCTTTTGTGGACAACAGCCCAGATGAAGCCATCGTAGGCCGAGGGCTGGACCTTGAGCGACGAGGACTCACTGGCGGGCATGGGGACCAGGTCCTTCTCCTTGCCATCAAAAGTATACAAGAGAGCCTCGTACCGCTCGCTGGGGACCTCCCAGCTCTCGAAAAAGAAGCTGAAAAGGTATTCCACCAGGTAGGTGATCGGATTGTACCGCTTGGGCATCTTGAGCGCCACATCGACGAAAGCCACGTTCTGGCGGCCGGACGCGTACGCAGTGAACTCGTGCGCCGACTTCTCCTCCACCACCTCCTCCGGGTTTACCAGTTCCACATCTACGGAATCGCCGCTCTCGGTGGACACGCCGGGAACGTTGTCGAACCCAACCACGGCAAACTCCTTCTGGAGGACAGGAGCATGGGCCAGGGCCCAATCCCTCGCCCGCCGGCGGTTCTTGCGCGTGCCCCAGAAGTGCACGAGGAGGATGGCTACGATGAACGGCATGATCATCGCCTCCTGTTGGAAATCACTGGGGGACACGCGCTCCCAGACCCGGTACCATTTCGTGTACGGAGCACCAGCTGCGAGGGTATTAGCTGCGGGGACAGTGGTCGTGTCGGCCACGAGCGAGGCGGGCGTTGGGTTTGGAGCCTCCACGAAGTCGGCAAAGTCTTGAGGTGAGGCATACGATCAGCGGGGGGTAGGGGGAAGAAAGCATTGGTGCACAGCAATGGATCAAGACATACCATCGTCAGGCCCGGCAGAACCCGAGGGCTGAGAGCCAAAGACATTCTTGAAGACGCCCGCCATGGTGTGTTGGATGGAGATGGCAAAGCGAAAGGGGAGGAAGTGGAAGGAAGAATTGAATTGCGCTTCTGGAAGCTAAGGTCCGTGCGCCCGGGGTTGGATTCCCCGAGTTTCCCACACGCGATAGTTAGGGATCATTATTCTCACCATAGACCTAGGTACGACAGAATTTGTAGGTGAATCCAATGGAGAGTTCATTTCGATGATACAAAATAAGACAAAAGAAAAGTGAACGTGGTATCAAGTATAAACCCCCAAGAAGAAACAATCGCAAGAAAGAAAGAACCCAATTTTGTACAGACCCGCTTCCAAGCAACAAATGAAGTCAAGGAAATTCGTCAAAGTCATAAGATAGCTTAATGGCCATAAGCTGGTGGAGGGGATTCCTCGTGGTGGCGGTCCCAGAAGTTGTTACCTGAGTTGGTGGCCACCAACTTCTCTTCGCGCATGCGGCGAGCAATCTCGCCGGCAAGGTGTTCGACCAGCACAGGGTCGACGGTATGGTCAGCCGCGCGTTCGTTCTTGGTGAACGGAAGGATCTTAGAAGGCAACGGTGGCCGAGATGAACCGGACGATGGACCGGCCTCGGCCTTCTCATTGGGATAGCGCATGGTGGCGCGCGGCGTGGCGTCCACATCTACTGCCTTGGGTCCACGAATGGTCTCAACGGAGTAGGATAGGTCGGCATTCTCGAGATTCAGCGAGCTGCGGCGACGAGATGGCCGCGAGAGACTCATGCGGTGCCCTTCGGGGACCGAAAGCAGGTGGGAGTCCGTCTCCGGAGATAGCGGCGGTGTCACCGGGTCATCCGATTGCTCGTTGACAATGGGAAGAGGCGCAGAGTAGATAGACTGGGCGCTAATGGATTCCGTCATGGTACTGTCGTCGCTCACACTCAAGGCGTCATCCGTCGTCTTCGGACGAGCACGCAGATCCACCACGCGCTTCTTTCTTCTGCGGGAATGGGCTTTCGAGTGACGTCCAGAGCCCAGACTCAACCCGTAACTGCTGAAGGAATGACCTCCGATGGATGGGCGGCTTTGCATAGAGACCGTGCTAGCGGTTTCGTGGACCGAGGACGACATGCTGCCGATCTGCGAATGTGTCCGCGAAAGCGGCGGGCTGAGAGGAGAGATGACACTTGCAGCCAGTTCGTTGGGTTCTGTTGGAGATGTCCACGCTCGGTACACCACTTCCTGGATGGACGGAGTGAACAGAGACAAGGTTCGTTGAGAGTCCGTCAGGGCGGCTAGGCGGAGCAGATTCTTCTGCGAGAACAGGGAATGGGTCTCCACCGAGGAGTCCAGCGAAAGCGAAGCAATCTCGGACTCGTTCAGCGCATTACCCAGAGCATCTACGGGATCCTGGGGCGGGCTGGCCAAAGGGTCTTGCCCGGGGCCTTCGCTGGTCGAGTTTTCCGTGTTCTCTGCTTGGTTCTCTGACACTTCCCCAGCGCGGTATTCGGGATCCCATAGTCGCAACGACAGTCGGTGGATGATGGCGGGGAGCTCGTCCATGAACAAAATCCGGAGTTGGGCTTCGATTTCTTTCTGCAAGAAGTCGCGAACGAACGGGATCGAATCGAACGTCGATGACACCTTGAGCGATTCCAGGGGATCATTGCGAAACACCACTGTAATGCCTTTTTGTTTCGAGAAGACCAATATAACGAAACCGGAGAGCTTGAAGTCGGAAAGGGTGATTTGTAGAGGGATGGTGAGTGGGGTGCTAAATCGCGATCAGACCGTTAGTCAAGGAAACTTTTCAAAGTACTTTTTTTTGGATATCGTTCGCGGCACATACGCAGCAGCAAGAGGTAGCGGCGAGGCAAAGGCGGGTCGTGTGAGGAGGAAGGTGTTGAGCGGATTCGCCTGCACTCGAGTCTTCAACGTCAGGTAGGCATCGCCAGAGTAAGACATCTTAAAGATGCCGCGAAAGCGATCCTCGGCGATGTCGCCGATTTCCAGGATCTCCAGCTCTGGTGGTATGGAGCCGAGATTCAGCTCGGTGACGATGATGTCGTCGACGATGATCGGGGGTTTGGGCGACTTATTGAGCGCGGCTGTCAGCAGGTCTTGGGCGCGGGTGTAGAAGCCCGCGTCCGCCATCAACGGCGACCAGTTGAAGTTGAACGCCATGCCCGGTCATTGAAGAGACGAGAGGACGGATGATTCCAGAGAGAAGAAGCCGGGGTAAAAATGGGAGAAGGTAGGGCGCGGGTGGGAGAGGCGAGAGGAAGGGAAGATCCGGGCGGAACAGGAAAAAAAGAAAATGGGTCGCCGAGGCCGCGTGCCGACCGCACGAGACGACTACGCACAACGTCAACTATGATGATTTTGATTGGACTTGCTCTCGTTAGTTTGTATATATTATTTGATGAACTATTATTGGATCAATACTACATCCCATGTCCTGTCGAGACACTTCCATCATGACGTGACTCCCTCCACCCCTTCCGACCAGCCCCGACGCGCACATGCGCCGTTTACGGCACGCGCTTGTGATAGGCGAGGCACTATCCTCACTAAACACGCTAGGTTGATCTCCACCGCTGGAGTCCAGCCCCTGTGCGGTCATCAGGGGTTGACGTGGGTAGTCAGTGAGAAGTGACAGAGGAAGGAGCAGCAGAAGAGAGAAATAATGCCTAGGAAAATGAATTTGTACGTGTGTAGGTTGCTATTCTTCGGTCGGATGTTATACTGCACACCCAGCTTTGATCCCATCCGCCTCCAAGTTGTTTCTTCCTGGCGGCCTTCTGTCGCTCTCACTGTTTTTATGGTATTTCTTTTCCCTCTCTTCTAGTTTTCAGTCTACATACCAAATAATTTCTCCGATGTCAGTGTCATAGTCGCAGACCAAGAATGCATGCGCTTCACCGCGGCAACCAACGCTAGCCCTAATCGGGAAGTTCATCAACACCATCGACGTCTCTTAATCTCACCTCAACATCTTCACACCGTCGTCGCGTTCAATCGCACATCACCTCAACGACATTCGGACGACAAATAGACCTCCAAAATACACCATACACACCATGGTGACTCGGGCATCCTCGCCATTGGCAGGTCACGCGACACCCACGAAAGCACAAAAACCCAGAACCAGGACAGTCGCCCACCGCAGAGTCTACGGCAAACGGAGAGCCGATGCCCCCAAGGCAGTGTTTGAACAACCCAGCCCCGCAAGACTTCCTGAGAATGTCGAAGCCTTGGAAGCGATCCAGAAGAAGCTAGCCGATGTGACGATAGCCGAGCAACCAGCACCTCGACACAAAGAACCCGAGAACCAGCCTTCCGATCCAAAACCAGAGGGCACTGAGGTCCAAACAGCATCACCGTCTAGTAAGCCGTCTAGTGCATCCCCCACACAGTCCTTAGCAGACACCTCGGTTGAGTCGCCCTCGCAAACAACCACGCCGAAGAAACCAGCCAAGTATGAAACCATGGTGGCAGTCAGGATACCCGCCAATCGTGCACCCAAGTCGGTGCAGGCAAGCCCAAAAAAGGATGACACGCCGTCTACGGACAAAAGAAAAAAGAATTTCTTCCGGCGACGCTCATCGGGTGTTGTTCACAACACCGCAGTCAACACTTATGCCCGCCCAATCCTCAACGAAGCCTTGTCCGCTGCAGCCGCACAGAGTGTACAAAAATTCAGCACATGGGCTTCGCGATCTGCGAAGATGTTTGACGTGGCGAAACTGGCCGAGGGTTCATACGGAGAGGTTTACAAACTGCATTTGCGTGACGAGGCATGCAGACCTGCAGCATCCAAGTCCAAACTGGCAAAGCTGCGAGCATACGGAGATGGCGTCTTTAAAGTGGTACCTCTGCGGGCCCAAAGCGGACCCGGTTCGAAGAAATTCACCACCATCGAAGAAATTGTGTCGGAGATCAAGATGCTCAAATACCTGGACCCCATCCCCGGATTTGCCCGGTTCAGGGAAATCCATGTGGTACAGGGTCGTTTTCCGGACACTTTCCAGGGTGCATGGGATCACTACAAGAAGACCTCGAACGACTGCTTGAACCCGAACCCATCCAGTAAGAAGGCATACCCGGACTCGCAGCTGTGGGCGATTGTGGAAATGGATGACGCGGGATGTGAGCTGGAGAAGTTTTGTTGGTCATCAGTCTTCCAGATCTATGACATCTTTTGGGGCGTTGCCATGGCTTTGGCACGCGCTGAAGAATACGCGCTGTTTGAGGTAGGCATACATACCGCAACCCTAGCACACAAAAAAAGAAGATTGTCTAACAGTTTTTCAGCATCGAGATCTTCACTTGGGAAATGTCTGCATTCGATCTACTCGTCCAGACGACTGCATGGACCCACCGTCAGACCTCGACATCATCCGTCAGCAATCAGCCAGCGGGTTTGGCTTCAGCTCCCTCGAAACGACCATTATCGACTACTCACTTTCACGCGCCGACTTACAACTGGCCGACAGCGGGGAGAATACCACCGAGGTTACTTCATCGGATTTGGACAGAAAGCAAATTTTCGATTCCATTGGCCAGGACGAAGACGAAATTCTTCTGAGGAACACCTACCGATAGTATGTCTCTTTACCATTGTTCCGTGAAAACATCACACTAATTTGGTCAAATAGTATGCGTGCAACTCTATATACCGGAAACCCCCTGGAAACAGAGAAAGCGCCCAATATCCCCGGCATCTGGTCTGAATATGCACCGCGGACAAACCTGGTCTGGCTTCTCTTTCTGCTCAAGAACCTCCTGAAAAACCGGAAACCCGAGGCCTCGCAGCCACCGCCCCAGCCAGCACGAAAGGCACTCGCTCCCTGTTCTCCCAACAGAAGCCCCATGAACAAGTCGGGCAAGAACGAAAAGAACAAAGCAAAAGAGAGCAACATGGCTGACATTCGAGTGAAGGAGCGTCAAACGAAGGACATACAAAATCGTATCGGTCGCCTCAAACAGACCCTCGAGGGAAGACTGAAATCCATTCTAGAGCTCCTCGATCTAGAGCACGGGCACGAAGACATGTGCTGTGCCGCTGATCTGGTGGCATACGCAATGGACCAGCAATGGCTGGAGGACAAAGACTTTTTCTGATTCTCTCGTTAAAGCAACATGGCCTACGATGTTTATGACTTTGATTACGGTTGGACTTCCTGTTCTTAGAGTATTTGTTGTTTGGAGTTCTGGGACTGTTGTTGTTATTATCTCGCATCTCAATAGCCTGCATAAGTATACATGGAGCATGTGCCAATGCATATAGCTACACTTTTAGCTTATTGGTAGTTTCGTAAGGAAGCGGGATAAAACGCTAAGAGGATATACGAGATGTGCTCTACAAGGTGGAGCGACGGAGAGAACAAATACTGGAAGAGGCAAGGAGCCCCAGCTTTCGTGGACGCTCACTGCAAGATGTAGACCCTTACTCGCACTTCGATCGTTTCAGTGCACCATCAAGACACGAGCTCGAACACTATCGACGCAGCAGTTAATAATTATATCAGTAGTGCTGGATCTTGGCTTCTGTGTTCCTTGCGATGATCGACTAAACGTAATAAGTTGAATGGTAGCGAAACCGGTCCTAGTGAGGACCTGTCCGCTTCCACCAAGGGAGCGCCTAGATTATTTATATCAAGATTTTCTGCCATTACCTCTTGATTTTAAAAAAACGTGAGTAACACTTCCGCGCTATCGAGCACCCTAGGGACAGCCTGTGCTTGGTTAATTGGGGCAATTTCAGGTCCCTTCCACCCCATTGGCTGCTACAGTGTATTTCAAGTACTTTATTCGTCGAGCTCCGACTGAGAATATTTTTGATCTGAGAAATGGCGTATTACCACTAACGTTAAGGACAAGCTGATTCAGCCTCTACTCATTCCTTCATATGATTTTGTATGAAAAGTCGGGTTCCTTCGGAATACCTCTGTTGTAACATGCCAACATCAGCACCTGAAACTTGACACGCTTTCAACAGCAGTCTCTTAGATACTTCTTCAATCAACCATTTCAAATTGTTCCCTCAATTCTAGTGCATAATAGTATTGCGTGTTTCGGCGCATAACAACCCATCTCACGACAAATATCAACCCTGGCAGATGACGTGTGTACGTATGATGGGAAGTTCAACTCATATTTTTCTCGACTTCATTGCATCAAATCAAGCGATAACTGATAAGATAGATTAATATAATCAACCTAGTGTCGCTTCAGAGATGAAACAGATTGATTTTCCCCGGCAGGTCCAACAAAAGAACGAGCGTATAGCAAATACCCACTGCACTCCACCGATCGGCATTATAATCACAATGCACATAATGACTTGGTTATCCCCGTAGAATTTCCTCCGTTGCGACTACAGCCAGTCATATTCCCTATATACCAACTATGTGCTTGGTAATCGCAGCCCGTTTGGCCAAGATTTCCGGTCTTGTTGTCGATACCCTCAATAACCTCTATATCGGAGGGATTGACAGGCGCGGTGTTATTCGAAGTTATCCAATATTCTGGGGAGGACTGGCTATACTGCCAACGTCTTGTAACAATCTTCGAGGTTGCTAAGATTCTGGGAACTGGGTCATCTGAATGTGTGACTCGATAGTTAAGACCAAGGGTCGAATCGGTGATGACTTCGGCCAGACTGTGATTTCCGACTTGAGGGCTACCGAATGTGTACTATTGTTTTGTTAGCACAACGCGGCGGCGCTGTTATCCTGTATATAGTTTCGTCTTTGATTCCGTCCATGGTAAATACTTACGAGGTCTACCGTGTGGTTTGCGTTTCTCTGGAAGAGTGCGCCAAGCGTGGACAATGCGCCACCGAGACTGTGACCTGTGAAAGTAACCCGGTAATCAGGATAAATTGTGGAGGCACATTGGATTATGGGCAACACTGTTGCGGAGATATTGCCCCAGGCGTAAAGGAAACCTTCGTGCGCCATGCAGTCGGAGCAGAGATCCGGCACAGGCACCTGAGGGAAATCGATATCGGTCTCGTAGTTTCCTTTATATTCGCTGCCACGGAAGGCGAGAACAATGCTTTTATGTGTCCTATCCAGCGCGATGAAGCCGGTTGTGTTTCCAGGATTTTGGCTATGTGAGAGGTTAGTTATTGCTCACGAGATCTTCCAATTATGATATACCCTTGGAATGAGGCGAGAATTTCTGTATTAGATCTTTCAAGACGTGGACATATTCCAGGATCACAAGTTACTTTCTTTCCTCCGGTTGAGTTGAAGTTTTTCTCGCAAGTGGCTGCTGCAGAGTACTCGGAAAATAGGGTTAGGTCGCGCAGAAGACCGTCGGAGATATCTGGAAGCCAAGTCAACATCATGCAAAGTTTCCATGCCACTTACTAACCATGACTTAAAATTTGACTGCCAGAAGCAAATATTGTGCCTGACAATTCCAAATACAAAATCCAGAATAAAAAGCATGGTGAAAACATTTTCCTCGGAAGAAGAAGGCTGTAGTGATATGTTGATTACTCTAACGTGCTGTATCCTGAACCGAAGCTAGAAGGTATTAGTGGACTACTGAGTGAGGCTATGGAGGGCAAGTTAGCGGGGTCTTTATATACCGTGAGCACAAGTCTAACTATTCTCGCAGAATCAGGAACACTGATCCTAGAACATTCTTCGTCAGGTTGTAGCTTTACGGTGAAATCTGTCGGCCATTTTGCTACGGCTTTATGAACAAACCTGTTCGTAGATACGACCCAGGTGCAAAACGCACCAGTAATTTACAGTGAATTAACTACAGGAATCTAAAGGCTGGGTTTGGTGGCTTCAGGCTGCTAGGGACAGAATGTCAGCGATGGCATGTCAAGCGCGATAGAATGTCCAATTTCTAAAAAAGCGCATGCTACGCATTTCAGTCCGCAATATTTCGGAATGCCATTTTCTCGCTTGTATTCTTGACATGATACAAAGAATGCGAATAAGGGGTACACCTGGATGGACGGCGCTTTCATTTACTATATCCCGCCCAATGAGGGATGATACGGAAAAAATGAGCATAGAGAATGTACGTACCTGCTGTCCTGAAAAGCCCTCTGCGTTTATTAAATGCTCTTTACCCTAATGTGATTCCCAGCTACGCGGTTACCCAATCAAAAATTCAAATTTTGTAAAATTTGAACCCTGATAAAAAAGTATGACTTTTGCTATCTAAATACTTCGTGGACATCTATAGATACCAAGATATTGTTTTACATACCCAGAACAGATTATCCGACGTCGTGTAGCAGGTACACCGGTAGTGAAGGTTCGACAGTAGGTTCTGGAGCAGCTACGGGACCAGATACATATTCGCCTGTACCACCTCCTTCTCCACCAACAGGATTTATGATATCCAAAACTTCGGTTAATCTGCCTTCATGAGCAATTTGTCTTCCAGATCTAGCTCTGTTTTCACCTGGTTTTTGTTTGCCTCCCGTAAACGCTTGATTCCATCCTTCTAAGATATGCGAATGAAGTATATGGACAGTCATATTTTAATATTGTTGAAGGTCTCGTTTGGTGGGCGAAGAGATCTTATTTATGACTGAACTTAGACCAGAATAGAGCCTAGATTTATTTTATTTTAATTTTTTTTATAAGTTTGTTTGGTTGTCCGAGGGATATCAGCAGAGATATTGCGATCAGAAGTTGAACCGAGTGAGGTTGGTCGATCTGGGAGGGCGGGAATGGAAGACGAATATTGAGCTTTTCTAGCATAAAATTCGGGTCTAAGAGGACTAAACCAATAGCCGCGAAGGAATTTTGAATAGTAGTCTCTTTGAAGCGTACCGTCGTGTTTGTGGAAAGATTTCCAAGAAGTCATCTTTCTCAATAGAACCGATACCCAATATCATATACTCTGCAACTTCGATGCCGTAAACTCCTTTAAAACAGCAGAACAGCCGACATCCAAAGGCTCTAAAAGATGAAAGGATGCGAAGGCAAAGATTATCTGCGTATTGCATTGCGGAAACAGTGCTGTGCAGTTGGACCTGTCAAGAGGACGGGCTGATTTCGTGTGAAGGGCCAGCGGATGCGCTCAAAAATTTGTTGAACTGATGGTATGTATACCTTGGATTATCTGTATCACCTTCGGTTCTTGGTACTACATGTACTATCTGTGCCGCATAGCCGAATTTAGCCTTAAAGGTAATATATCGCTTGGGTGATATCATAATGTAGGATCCAGCTGCAGGAGTCCGGAGTAGGATTTCTGGGCGTGGGCGCTTAGCCATATTTTAACATTGGTGAAACCCCAGCAGACGCAAATTGTTCTATGTGTAGCATACGTTCCGAAGTCTGTGGTCTAGCTTAGTTTTCAGTAGATACTGTTGTCAAGCTTTCCGTCACGGTCCGCAGCTTATAATGATAGAAATCGTACTGCTATGCAGCTCCGCAGTCTTCTTTGTCCTTGCACTTAATCTTAAAATAGCCTCCACATAATAATAACAGGTAACTCGGACAGCGTTAATCATGACTAGGGCTTTGCTATATACATTATCCATACTTTGTAAGTCCTCAGTCCTATCGTTGTCCTGGAAGTCATAGAAATTCACAAGTTGACGCCGAGATAGGTGCCTTTGGCGCTGGCAATGCTCGGGTTGAGGCGGAGGAAAGTTCTGTCAGTAGGCAGCATGGATCAAGTGCTTTGACTGCTAGCGTTGCTATAAGCACTGTAAGTATTACTAGCCTCCTAAGTCACTGCTACAAGACACTGATCTTATTTGCAATGCAAAAGCACCTGTCCCACACCGTCCACACCACGAGTGCGAATATAAAACATGACGAAGAAAACTTCTGCTTATTTTCAGCACTCGTGGGTCCATCCCAGGCTTATTCTCTGTTACGTATGCTTTGTCCACTCACCCTGTCAAATGACTACTCTAGTGTTGGAACGGCCTGACGTGCTGCAATTTCCGATGTGTCAATACCAACACAGATAGTAGTAATTGTGGTGGATGCGGTACTACTGTATGTCTTTCGCTTGGCTTATCCTTTCTTTCTACTTTCTATATAGGTTTTACTAACCAAATATTATAGTGCCCATCCGGTTTGAAATGTAGCTCAGGCTCCTGTTGTAGCGCTGCCCAAACTTGCACTGGATCCACCGGCAGTTCGACCTGCGTGAGTCTACTTGAAATATAGTTATCCGAGTGGGCAATGTCACTAACTTAAGCGATATTTATAGTGCCCAGCAACTCAAACATGTATCTCAGGCGCCTGTTGCGATAATAGTTCGCTCTGTGGTACTGGAGCCTCGGCTACGTGTGGCGTAAGTATTTCTTTGGAACTATCACTCAAGGTACTAATTTAGGCAATCTGGTCTACAGTGCCCAGTCGGCGAGATGTGCATCTCGGATACGTGTTGTACTACTGCTCAAACCTGCGCTGGAAGCGGCGCTTCTACTTGTGTGAGTCCCCTGGAATATGTAGACTGGGGGTAGCTATTGATGAGCATGCTTCATAGTGTTCCGCAAATCAGACATGCGTCTCGGGTGCCTGTTGTGATAATACTGCGCTCTGCGGTACTGGAACTACAGCCACGTGTGGCGTAAGTATCTCTCTAGACAGCGATCGTCAGTTCACTAATTCAAACCATTTCTTCCTATAGTGCCCGACTGGCGAGACATGCGTCTCAGGCTCTTGCTGTGCTAACACTCAAATTTGCCAAGGCGCTAATGGTACTTCCTGCGTAAGTCAGCTTTGGGACATCTATATATTGAAGTAGTTCACTCATTCACTTGATGCTTCTACAGTGTCTCGCAACCCAGACATGCATCCTGGGTGCTTGCTGTGATACCCTGTCAGTCTGTGGCACTGGAGCTGCAGCAACATGTGTAAGTGTATATCCTATATGCCATAATATCGGATTAGCTTACTCGAACATTCAATGCTGCAGTGTTCCGCGGGTCAGACTTGCGTATCGGGTGTCTGTTGTTCTGCTACTCAACTTTGCATTTCAAACCCCGGCTCTACATGTGTCAGTAATCCTCGGTCTTTCAAATGTAGACATGATTTGTTGATTGAAATGGTGTTATTTCTTCAGTGTTCGGCAGACCAAACCTGCGTTTCAGGTGCCTGTTGCGATAATGATTCAATTTGCAATGGAATTGGTGGCCCTACATGTGTGAGTAGTTCCCGATGTGTGAGTTGTGGATATCATTTATTGACTGACATAATTCGTCGAAGTGCCCGGGAAACCAAACGTGTGTCGCAGGGGCTTGTTGCAATAACAATAGCATCTGTGGTTTTGGGCCGACAGCCACGTGTGGTGTATGTATATACTGTAAATTCTCCGTTATCGGATGTACTGATTTGATCATTCTACTTTATAGTGTCCCACTGGCGAGACGTGCGTTTCGGGTGCCTGCTGTGCTACCACTCAAGTTTGCCTAGGAGCGAATGGTGCCTCCTGTGTAAGTCAGCCTTGGAACACGGATACATATCGAGATAGTTCACTGATTTACTTCATGCTTCTGTAGTGCTTACCAGCCCAGACGTGTATCTCAAAGGCCTGCTGTGATACCTCCTCAGTCTGCGCTGAAACCTGCGTGAGCTACCCTCCAAGTAAACAGATATTAAGTATAAATGCTAATCTTGTTGATGCTTTCAGTGTTCGGCAACTCAAACATGCATCTCGGGTGCCTGTTGCGATACTACGCAAGTCTGTCACTCTGGACTGGGCATTTCCGCATGTGTAAGTCACCCCAGAGATGTATGGGCTATGACACACAGTATTTTCTAATCATATGACATCTCTTATAGTGTGCGGCTGGCCAAAAATGCATTGCGGGCTCGTGCTGCGACGATAGTCAAATTTGCACTGATGCAATGGGCGTCAGCACATGTGTACGTATTCAATATCATCAGGATATTTCTTTGGGATATACAATTTCCTGATTTATATAACTGTTTTCAAGTCTCCCGCCGGTGATACATGTCTGTCGGGCGCCTGTTGTGCCCAAGCTTCAGTTTGTGGCGATACGTGTGGGGTAAGCCACTTTCCAGTGGATAACCTATTTGGTACAAGCAGTTATTGATTCCCTGGATTATAAAGTGCGCGACAGGCTCAACATGTCTGAATGGTTCCTGCTGCGCCGATAGTCTCATTTGTGGTAGCGAGCCTACCGTAACATGCGGTGTAAGTAATCCCAAAAGACCTTGGACTGCAGATGCTGAGCTAGGAAATTGCTCCAGTGCCCCAATGGGGGGCTCTGTATATCGAGCGCTTGTTGCGATATTACCGACATCTGTACCAACGATGGCGTTGTTGGCTGTAGTGTAAGTCATTCGTCCTGGAGATATACCTTGGTGATGTGTATTGATTTAAATCACTACTCACATAGTGTCCTTCTGGCGAATCGTGCTTCTTAGGCACTTGCTGCGCCACTTCTCAAGTCTGCCTTAATGCGTCTCTATCGCCCATTTGCGTAAGTTAATTTCCAACATTGGAAGTCTATCAGGTTTTGAAGCAGATCACTAATAAGACTATTATTGAATAGTGTACTACGCCGTGCGCCTCCGGCCTCTGTGTGTGATACCAATGCCGTAGGGTTATCTTGAAATTAACCACTCTCGAGGCCTGCTCGGGTGTCAAAATAGCTTCAGCGAGACTGCAGGAGCAAAGAGAGAAAGAAAAATGTCACTTTTGTCTTTACTTTTGATTTAGCTTTAATGCAAAGAACCTTCCTGTCGTCGCAACCAATACATTTCCGAGAATGCCACACCGTTAACACGATGACGCCCAACATTCAACAAGTAAAGAACCAAAATCGGAACAACTTCCAGAATTATCTCGGAGCCGGACCTGAGCTGCTCACTGAGCAACCTGAGCGCGAACTCGATTACTCACCTCCTTCAATTCTCAAAGTGCCTCGGCTCCTTCGCCTGCTCCGATGATAATCGCTCTACTGCCTATTGATGTCCCTAGGAGTCCGAGCCAGAATGCCATTTTCCCGTGTCTTTAGTGTCTTTTACCCTCCCCTTCGAACTTCGTAGTAACAAACTCGATTTTTTTGAAGTTCGGGTGAAGGGCTGAATCGACCAAGATATGAGTGGATGGTGGTTGCGATGGCGAGGGCTTAAAAGGTGCTGCCGGCATTTACGAAATACAAAGCCAAGATGGGTCTTAGATGCGTACTAATATGGTTTCATATGCATTTGGAACTCCTGGGAGCAGAATTCTACTTTATATGTTGTATTCTAGAGTATGTCGTGAATCGAGAGAGACAATGAATCAGCATCACGGAAGGCTTTTATCGATCTAGCCCATTTGCCTGGCACTATACCATTGACATACGCTTAGCAATTTCCTAAAGTGGGAGATAAAATAAGAAATGTGGTACGAACCATCTGCCAGTATGACCCTCTGTTCTGGAGCAGCTCCTGATGCGAGCCCCGTTCAACGACTCGTGATCCTTTGCCACTCTGACTCTCCCCGAAAACGAAGATAACATCCGCCTTTTGAATAGTCGCTAGTCTGTGTGCGACTGCGATAATCGTCATACTCCTCCGTGCAGCCAACCTTTCAAGGGCGGCTTGGACTAACTTCTCGGACTGCGAGTCAAGGCTTGATGTCGCCTCATCTAAGAGAAGCAGAGACGGTTTCCGCAATAGTGCGCGCGCGATGGACAGTCGTTGTCGCTGGCCTCCGCTGAGAGCTGTCTGTGCTTTGATTCCTAGATCTGTGGAGTATCCATCTGGAAGGGATATGATAAAGCTGTGAATCTCGGCATCGATGCATGCTTGAATCAATCCTTCTTCCGTGTACTCCGAGCTTTCGAGTCCGAGGGTGATATTATCACGGATCGTGCCTTCAAACAGTCGCGGCTCTTGGGCTACCAGTGACAAAGATCTTCGGTATGATGCTGGATCAATAAAGGTGATGTCCTCACCGTTAAGGAGAACAGTCCCTCGGAACGGATTGTAGAATCGCTCGAGTACCGAAATCAGGGTTGTCTTGCCACACCCCGATGGCCCCACGAACGCAACAAACTGGCCACTTTCGATGGTAACGTTAAGACCCATGAAAAGAGGGACTTCCTGTGACGCATATTTGAATGCAAGATTCTGAAAATCAATGCGAGCTCCGGACCTGCGGGATTGATCGGCCATGCGCTGTCTGGAAGCAGCACTAGTGTCGTCCAAGGCTGGCCGGAAGTTCAAAATCCGGGTCGCGGCGGATGTAGCCTGGGCAATATTCGGCCCAAAACTAAAAAATTGACCTGCTTGTTGCCCACCGAGGATGATTGACATGTACACAACAAAGAAGGAGGCGGGCTGGTACTCTCTGGATGCGAGAAGCTGGCCGCCGTACCAAAAGGTAAGCGCCATGGCGCAGAGTTCAACACTATCGGAGAAAGCGAACACCAGGGTGGCCAGCCAGGCTTTGTGGAACGCTTTTTTCTGTTGTTGTTTCAAAAGATCTGAGTACCGATTCAAGATAGAACCCTCCATGGTCAACGCCGAAACGGTCCGGAATGCCTCGATAGCTTCTGCTGCAAACTGAGAGCTACCCGAGTATACCTCCGCGTTCAGAGCTTCAAATTCCAGTTCGTATCGGATGCGCATGAATGCAGCAAGGAAGACACAGGGAAGAGCGGCAAACACAGTCACGAGGCTTAGCTTCCAGCCAAAGGAGAAAGCGATTGCGATGCAGCCTATCATACTGCAGACTGAAATTATTGGAAAAATGCCGTTCAGCCCGACCATATCCTGAATCTGCTTGGGATCGGTGGCTAGACGCGAAACCAGGGAGCCGGAGGCATTTTCGTTCAAGTCATAAAACGGAACCGGCTGTCTCAGAATATTTTGGAAGTATTCTGTTCGACAAGAGGAGGATATTTCCTAGAGTTTTATTAGATCAGCTTATCGTATCCTGGGTAAAGGCAACAATCACTGACAACGGAGAGTCTGTTGGCTGAGTATCCGACCGCGGCGTAGCAGGCTGCGGTGCCTAGAGACAGGATGAAGAAAATCAGGGCCCAGAAATTGGCAGCATCGCTCAGCTTTTTCCCTGTGAGGCGGAACACATCGATGAGATTTGCAAATAGCCAACTTTGTAAAGGGAAGGCAGCTGATGCACAAGTTAGCCAAGTACAGTAAGTTTAACCCACAGGACTTACATGCAGCACCCAGTACCCCCAGTAAAGCAGTCAGGCAAAGTAACCAATGTGTCCTTGCCTCATAAATAAAGACCCCAGCGCTTCGAAAGAAACCACGGATTTTTACTTTCTCTTTGTACTCATCTTGTGGCTGCTCGGAGATGACAGTAGTGGAATGTTCAAGTTCCTCTTTCATGGCTTCTGTGACCTCCATTGGATCGGCTTCTTCTGCAGCGATCTCAAGTTTTTGAGCATTGACAAGGCCTCGGTAAAATCCATCCTCCATGGCAAGAAGCTCCTCGTGTGTCCCTTCCTCGATATTGACACCGCCCCTGAGAACCAGAATGCGGTCGGCGCGCCGAACGGTAGACAGTCTGTGTGCGATAACAATTGTGGTGTGACTTTTGGAGACGCGATCAAGGGCTGTCTGGACTATCTTCTCTCCACGGACGTCAATTGCGCTAGTAGCTTCATCCAGAACCAGAATTGTAGGCTCCTTCACGATGCTTCGGGCTATGGCCAGACGCTGTTTTTGACCGCCACTCAATTTGGTGCCGTTCTCTCCGACAATGGTGTCATACCCCTAGAAGGGTTAGATAGATGGCATCCGCTACAAGCACAGTTGACATACCTTTGGGAGACGCTCGATGAACTCGTCTGCAAATGCTTCTTTGCAAGCATTCTCCACTAATTCGGCCTTCACAGAATCAGGTTCATTCTCCCACCTTGTGCCGACAAGACCATATGAGACGTTCTTGAAAATCGTATCGTTGAAGAGAAAAGGTTCTTGCTGTACGAGTCCGATTTGGGACCTCCACCACTTGAGATCCAATTCTTCGATATTTCGTTGGCCCACGAAGATACCTCCTTGTTTCGGGTTATACCATCGCTCCATAAGAGCCACAATAGTGCTTTTTCCAGACCCCGATGGGCCCACCAATGCCGTGGTTTTGCCTCTTTCGAATCGAACGTTCAGTCCCTGGAAGATCTTGTTCCCCGGTCGCGTGGGGTATGTAAAGTCCACGTTTTGGAAGACGATATCACCCTGAGCTAACGCTACAGAATCTCGAAGACCGCCAGCGACAACCTTCTCTGAGTCTATGATCTCGAAGAACGAAGTCGACGCACTGGCCGCCTTGAACACCATCGTCAACGGTGTTGCAATATTTCCAAGGACACTTACTGCGATCATGATCGAGAAGAATACGCTGCAAGCCGCAATTAGTATGGGGGGATAATGGTAGCGGGAATTGACTAACATGATGACCGTATTAATGTCTGGGATGTGACCCTCCCGGTAGAGCTTCAGGCCAAGCCAGAATGCAAGTGAGTAACTGGCGTACATGGCAAAAAACATGAGACCAAACTGGACACCCACGATTATGGCCATGCCTCGGCCTCTATTCCGGGATTCTATAACCCATTGTCGATATTTCTTAGCTAGAGGCGCTTCGGCACCAAGAGAGATGACAGTCCGAATTGCGCCAAAGACTTCTGCTGCGATTGCCGAATGATTTTCGTCCGCCTTGTCCACCTTTTGTTGGATCTGAGATATAGCGGGCAGCGTCAGGCTGCAGGCAACGAGAATGAACAGAAGACAAGAGCTGGTGGCGAGAGTGAGGGCCCATGAGTATCTGAAGGCGATGATGTATGCGGCGATCAAGAGGGCTAAGGATTGGAAGAGAATGGCCAGCTTGTCTGATATGCTCTGCTGGATCGTATTGGAGAGTGTGGTGATCGCATTGACGACCGTCCCAACTGAGACTTGGTCCAGTTTACTGATTGGCTGAGCGAAAAGCGAATCCATGTACTCCAGTCTCAAGGCAGCTGAAACCCGAAGGCTGATAACACGGAAGCAATACTGGGATGGAGCAAGTCAGCTTCCTGAAGATATTGAATATTTTGGGGGCTGGTCGGGTGGTTACCATCGAGAAATATGTCAAAGTGAACTTTGCAATGAAGAGATAGACAATGTACAGACTTCCCGAGGGTCAGCTGCGTAGAATCTTATAATAGAAATTTTTGCCTACCTTAGCCGACTAACCGACGTTTTGAACTGGGCTGCAGTGGTTGAGGTTCCAGGGGTAAAATACGAACTGAATTCGCCAACCAGACTACCAAAGACGATATTCATGATCGGTAAGGGCTGATGCAGGATCAGTGTCATATTCATTCGGCTTGGTATGAAAGATATAGCAGGACACGTACCACACCAGAGCCCACGGAGCATATCAGGGCGATCGCGAGGACCATCCGATCTTTGGTAGTCGTATAAGAGAGGATTCTCTGGGTTTGATCAGCCACGGATCACGACAGAACTCCATCTGATGGACTGGACATACAAAGTAATCTTTGAGCGAGGTAGACTGCTCCACCGCATCTTTAACCTCTTCATCCTCCTTGGAAAGGCCAGTGACCTGGTCGTTGGGGAAATCATCCGTCGATGCTGAGAGGGACTCTCCGATCTTAGTGTGTTTCCCTGCCACAGTTTCCTGTGGAGGAATTTTCGAGGAAAGACTCATCCTTCTGGATAGGCGCGAGTATGTGATGGGTTGAAGGGAACCATAGCGCAAAGAGACGGGGGTTCATTCGGTATATATTTAAAGGTACGCGGATAAATTTGGACAGGTGTGCATTGCCTTTAGATGAAAAAATACGAGAATTACCGATATCAGGGTAGTGGATCCGCGATTTGACTACTCTGATAGGCCAAACATAGAGGGCTTTGGTAGCTCTAGGCTGAAAAGTACGAGAGTAGCAAAGGCAGCTTGTCTATCTCGGGCGCCTGGTGATACCTATTTGGACCTAGGGTAGTCAAAGTGGAGACTGTCCGGACTTGCGGGGTTTGCGAAACTCCGGTCGCACTGGGACCACTGAATTCCCACCGGGACTGTCTCACGGACTTTCGGACTCTGCTTTTCCGGCTTCTTCATCCTCGAACTCCTATTGACCATTTTTAGAAATAATACCGGGATATGAGCACCCAGCGGGCCTTGAAGAATATTTCGGTGAGCCTCTTCATCTGACAGTACTAGTTGGATCCTGACCAAGAACTCCTAGTGCAGTCGCTGCCAGTCCAAAAAGGTAGATCTTCTTTGCAACTCCAGCGTCACAGACCAGCCAGAGTAACAGGTTTCTAGATTCGCTGCAATCGAGTCGCCCCGCGATGTGACAAATGTGAATCTATCGGGGCCGAGTGTACATACCTGCCACGGAAGCGACGGACCAAGAAACAAGGGTAACTGCTTACCTATGATTCGGCTTCAATAGTTCGGACGCTTTGATTGACAGTTGACTATAGAAACGACATCAACGAGAATAGTGTTCTATTAGATGTTATTCACCGCCTGGAACGCCTAGAAGAACATTGTGGCCTGGAGAAAGCTCCCGACATCGACCAACATGGCGATCGTTCCATGTCATTTTCATCCGTCGCTTCGGACACCTCTAGACATGTACCCTCGGACAAGTCCCATGTTCCAACCATGCCCGGCGTGATCGGTTGTATCTTGAGTCGCATCAAAAATCCACAGAGTAGGGCACTACTCCTCTCCAATGTCTTCAGTCACCTGCGAACTGTCGAATCGTGCTTTTTCGAAAACGAACGCTGCGTGGCGGCCATCGCTGCTGCAATGTCAGAAATTGAATATCTGCAGAACATACCAGCCAACGAGCCACCAGCGAGTCCTGAAATCCCAAACGACCTGGCAAAGGATTTTATTCAGAGCAAGTTCGTCTCCTGTTCTTAGTCGCCTGTTTGCTAACGTGTTGCTCAGATTATTATGAGTGTTATCAATTCGAAGGTTTCAAAATTCCTCTGGAGAAAACCTTCTTGCTTTCCATCCCTGATTTACTGGAAAACCCTCACATTCAGCTTGACTATACGTCCCAAATCATCTATCATGCCGTTCGTCTTTCAGGGATCGTACTGGATTCCGGCTCTCACAAGGATAACGGCGGCCTTATCCGAAATCTTTGCCGAATGTGTCTGGACCTTGCCGATTGCTGGCTGGACCATATTCAGAATACCCCTGCCGACCTCTTTGCGGCAGTTACAATGGCAAGTGAAGTCATAAAGCTTCAGTCGAGATTAATCAGGGCTGACAACGTACCAGGTATCGATGGCCCTCGAAAGCTGCAATAGCGAACTGGCCTGGAAGATGCTCGGCCATGCCTGCACGATCGCTAAGGCCTTGGGATATTTCTCTGTGGACGGGAATCCAGAAGAGGCAGAGGAAAAGCGGTCTCTCACGCAGGGATCGACGACCGACGAAACCGAAATAGATAAAAATCGAAAACGATTCGAGTTCTGGCATTTACTTCGAACGGATTGTCTCTTCCGACTGTCCTTCGGTAAGCCGACACTTATCTCGGCTGGGTGCTGGAAGGTCAACTTCCCAGATCCCACAATTAATGGCGTTGATGATGAATCTTCTCGCTTCGTACAAATTCATTTCCTGGCTTCTATGCGACTAACCCTGGTGGTGATGAAGTTCCTAGATTGGATTGACTCAGGGCCAGATCCTGACCCTGTTTTGCATGATGCAACAGTCGACAGCTTCCTTGAGGAGGTGCAGTTGATCATGTCTGATTGGGACATAGTATGATTTAATCCCATAATGTTTTCGAACAGTCACACTTGCTAACCCAGCGAAGGACGAGCTTCTTGGCATGGCCAAGTCCCAGGTCGACACATGGTTCTGCGTGGACATGATCTTCAGCAGCTACAAAATCCTCATCGTTCTTCACCAGTCGAAGAAATGCGACCAGGAGAGTCACCGTTTACCACCTCAAACTGTGGATATCTCTAGAAAGTCCATACAAATGTTCCAGTCCCTCCTAGGACCATCATTACAGGCACATTGGGGAATAAGGTATGCGACGAGCCACATCCCACTCAAATCTGTTCCTTGTGCCATTAATAACCACCAAAAAAATCTAGTCTCATCTTAATCCACCAGTTCATTCCTTTTTTCATCCTATGCTTGGATATAATTGGGAGTCCTGAGCGAGACGACCTTGAGACAGATATCACTTCGGTGACCTGGATTAGTGACTATGTCGAAAAGGTCGTCGAGGAGCGTGCCGAGCTAAGGCCTGTGATGATTATCATGAAGGCCATGATGTACGCTTGCCACCAAGTCAAAACGAAATGAACCTTCTAGCGTCTTCGATGACAGGAAATGCATAAACCGGCTATTAGCCTCTAGCCATATGTCTGAGAGTAAAAAACGCGACGATATTAGGTTATATCCACGTTAATTTGAATGCTCCCTAATGGACTAAGCGTTGCTAAGGAATCAGCGAGCATCTATAGTTAAGTAACTAGATAACTTAGTTAATCTCAGCATGATCACTCGGATATCCCCTCCCTGACTTCCGAAGTCTGAAAATTTCCGCAGCCCCACCTATGGCAGGTAACTTGGGCCGGCTGTTGTCTACAACAACCCAGCTCTCCACATCTCACCCCGACCTCAACGTCGATCGTGCCCCACATCCCAATTGATTCAGGCGGTCCTAGTGATCCGATCAGTTCAGGGACATGACTCGAGCCATCTGCGTCTATATAATGAAGCACTGCACTCGAGCCACTCCGATCCTCCGCGTCTCTTCACGGCTTCCTCGAGGCGGCTGCCCAGATATACAAAGATGCGCTCTCATCTCTTTGGCATTGCCGCCTTCATTATCGCCGCGCGTGCTGCTACTCTCGATGACGTCTGTACCCCGTCTTACGTCCAAGCACATCTCCCGGCAACTAGCTTCTATCAAGGTATCACGCTCAATCCCTCCTCAGTCACAGCGAACCCGGTAACCAACGTCGAGGTTGTGGATAACGACTTCTATCCCGACGCAGTCTTCGATTACTGCAACGTCAGCTTCACGTATTCCCACGACGGTTTGGATGATCATGTCACCCTCACATACTGGCTTCCGGCGCCGGACAAATTCCAGAATCGCTTCTTGGCCACGGGCGGTGGCGGCTATGCAATCAACGAGGGCAACCAATCCCTGCCCGGCGGCATTATCTATGGGGCCGTCGCCGGTCTGACCGATGCCGGGTTCGGCGCTGCTCAGAGTAATACGATCACCGAGTGGCTTTCTGCCAATGGGACTCTTAATTGGCACAACATCTACATGTTCGGCTACCAGGGGATTCGTGAAATGAGCGAGCTCGGCAAAGAGTTCACCAAGATCTTCTTCGGTCTGACTCAATCCAATACCACCCTGTACACATACTACCAAGGCTGTTCGGAAGGTGGCCGAGAAGGCTGGAGTCAGGTCCAACGCTACAAGGATTCATTCGACGGTGCCGTAATCGGCGCGCCTGCCTTCCGGTGGTCATTCCAACAGACGCAGCTCCTGTATCCAGATGTGGTCGAACAGACAATGGGTTACTATCCATCTCCCTGTGAGCTGCAGAAGATCGTTAATGAGACTATCACCAACTGCGACCCGCTTGATGGGAAAGTGGATGGCGTGGTGGCACGAAATGATCTGTGTTACAAGCACTATGATATATCTGCGGTTGAAGGACAGCCCTATTACTGTCCTGCAACACCAGCCTCCCCTGGTTCACCGGCTACGCCTGGCCAACAAGGAAACGTGACGAAAAAAGCAATCGCGGTGGCAAAGGAAATCCTCAAAGGGTTACATGATACCCACGGCAGACGGGTATACTTCGCGCCCACTCCCAGCGCCCAATTTACCGAAGCGCAGACCCGCTGGAACGCGACATCTAATGAATGGGGATTATCAATTATCAGCCTCGGTGGTGTATTTGTCGAAGTGGAGCTCAATTTGCTCAATGGGTCAAACATTCCAAACCTCAATGGCGTTACCTACGACACACTGAGAGACTGGATCTACGAGGGCATGCAGCGATTTCAAGGTGTGCTCGAGACTACCTGGCCTGATATCAATCCATATAAGGAGGCTGGCGGAAAGATACTTTTGTTCCACGGTGAGTCGGACTGGGGTATTCCCACCGCGTCCTCGGTTCGTTACTGGGAGTCGGTGCGCAAGATCATGAACCCCGGCAAAAGCTACAACGAGTCCGTCGCTGCTCAAAACGAATTCTTCCGTCTCTACCTCGTACCTGGTGCGACCCACTGCGCAGCAAATCCCGCCGAGCCTAATGGTCCCTTCCCTCAGACAAACCTGGGCGTGATGATAGAATGGGTAGAGAGGGGTGTCGTGCCTGAGACTCTGAATGGCACGGTATTGCAGGGGAAGAACAAGGGCCAGAATCAACAGATCTGTGCCTGGCCACTGAGACCGGTCTGGACGCACAACGCAACCAACCCGGATTGCCAGTACGACCAGAAGAGTGTTAATTACTGGAACTATGACCTGGATGCGTTTGCGGTGCCGATATATTAAAGTATCTCGCAAGGAAATAGACCATAACAGACACCTTCCTTATCTTGTATTAAACTATAAGTTTCGGTACACGAAGGAATGGAACCAATTATTGGCGGTGTTAAGTGGTGATGAGGAGGGAGGGGAAGCGTTGGTTGAAGTCCGTAAATCCTAAGAGACAATCAACTTTTTATGCACTACTTATAACTAGTATACTTAGTAGACAATCACAAGTTCAACAATTTCAGGGATTAATTGATTGACTATTAGTATCCCAGAACCCTAATTGTACAAGGTACTACAGTAAGTATCTATGCTCGGGGCTTAAAATCATTCCTTGTAAATAGCGCATTCGCATAAGCCATAGTATTATGTATAGGTCAATTTCCGAGGTTATCGGCTTTTGTTAATCCTTTGGATTGATTCCTCTGTTCCCTACTAACCCCTATTTGGCGTAGCTCAGAGAGACAGCGGAAGGGTTCATACAATATAGAATGCACTTTGGAGATATAAAGGGGGCACTTTTTGCACTCTTCATTCAGTTTTATCGATAACAGCAAACAAAAACATACAACGTATACTCTTTACAAGGTGTTTGGTTTGGAAGGCATTTGTGATGCGAAGCATTCCATAAGGTTCAGGCCGCAGCCCCGGCCCGGAAGAGCTTCACCATCAGTGCAGGGCGACTCCAAAGCGCGTATGACTTTTGGTTGATCCAGTTCATCGACTCAGGCAAGAGATTAAGGTCGAAGTTCCAGAATAGTTTGGTGAGGATGAGACGCATCTCGGCGTTGGCGAGGCTACGAGAGATCTAATTAGCTGAGAAGAAATGCAGTATCAGAAAGATTCCGACTTACTGCTGTCCCAGGCAGTTTCGTGGACCATATGAAAACGGCTGAAATGCCTCTTTCTTGTCAGCGGCAAAGTCAGAAGTTTCGTCGAGCCAGCGTTCCGGGATGAACACGTCGGGATCCTTGAAGTTGGTGTGCGAATGGAAAGCGGAGAAGAGGGAAATTGAGACGGAGACCTGTATTTACCATATCAGTTTGGCTTAAATTCGGGTAATATAGCTGGCGACTGAATCGGTACTTACTCCACCAGGCACGTACTGTCCATTGATGACAGCGCCGCCTTCAGGGACCAAACGAGGCAGCATAGCCGGGATGGGAGGATAGAGGCGAAGAGTTTCGTTCAGGACGGCAGTAAGGTACGGCAGATCCGCAATGGATGAGAGCGTGATATCGGACTCCTTCTCGAATGCGCCACGTATCTCGCGCATCAGACGGGTGTACTTGTCACGATGCCGAAGGAGATAGTACGTGCAGCCCGAGATGAGAGCGGCAGTGGTCTCGCTGCCAGCCAAAACAAAGACTGCAGCGTTCGCGTCTATCTCAGAGGCAGTCAATCCTTTCCCAATTTTGCTGTGCTTGAGGATGTACGAGGTAAAATCCGGACGTGTAGTTCCACGCTTGAGACGCCGCTGCATCTTTTCCACGCTCAGAGCGAAACTCTTCGTTCTTTTCTGGAGTAGATGACGCGGAACCAGAATCTTGACCAGAGGAAACAGAAGGGGATAGAACCAAAAGACCTTCAGATATGCGCTGGCTTTGACAGCGTCCAGGATGATCAGGATCCACCAGTGGTACTTGTTGCTGTCGAGACAGTCGAATGGCTCTCCAAATGCAAGGTCGCCAATCAGGTCGAAGGTGGTAAAATTGAACCAGCGAGTGAGATCAATGGCCTGACTGTGCGACCCACCGAGCAGTCCTTGAAGTTTTTCGATCAGCACGTCGACGTAGGTGTGCAGAATAGCTTCCTGCTCGCGGAGAGCCTTGTTGGAGAAGGCATGCGTCAGCAGCCGGCGCATACGTGCATGGTCTTCTTCGTTCGCGGTGATGATAGCATTAACTCCATTCGGCGTAGGTGCATACAATGAAGGATCCTTGAGAAAGATCTTCTGTCCTTTCTTGCGATGACCGTAAATGTCTCTCCAAGCAGGCGCAGCACGATAGGCAAGTGAGTTCGGGGCAATACGAACGACTTCGCCGTACTGATCGTGCATGGACCTGATGATTGAGTGCTGCTGGCCTTTGATATCCCAGAGAAGGTGCATCAGAGGGGTGATGGCTGCCAATTTGGGACCCGGGTACCGACTCAGCGGGTGGAAGTGGAGGGTGTAAATAATCCAACAGGAGAAGTAGACCAAGTACTGGAAACCGTGAGAAGCCTGATCTCAGAATTTAGGGTTCATACTCACCACAAACGAGAGACCGGCAAAGATTTTCCACACAGACAGGGCTGCCGGCACATGGCCCAGGTCGAACCCCATGGTTGGGTGTTCAAATCGCTGCAAGCCTTGACTCTAACCAAATTCTATCACAGAAACCAAATGGAGTGTATGAACCAAAATCCAAATCTAACGGGTTCAAAGGAGAAGATGAGAAAATTGGCGAGAGAGGATAGCGAAAAAGGAAGATGCAGAGGGAAGTGGACCATGATGGCAGGTCTCATTCTTTGTCTGCTCCATTGGGGCAAGGCCGAGCCTGAACTAACTATTAGGGGAAACTGCTGGATTATTAGGAAGGCCCTAGCATAGACAGGCTCCGGTTAGCCTTGCTTGCTTCTCCTTTGAAACAAATCCAAAATTTGGGGTGTGAAGCCCGGAAGGGCTTTCCGCTTCAGAGGGATTGAGGATGAACTTGGCATAAAACACACAGACACACTTTACTGAAACAATAACAAGTATTTCTATTCGTCGGTCATAATTCATATCTATACTATCCAAGTTATGCACTTGCAACACCAAAGGACAGGAGACTCCCCGCAGCCAGACCACCAACGAGCATCATACTCATAAAGCCTCCCGCAGCTTCTCTTTCGTTAACCGCAACCCAGTGGCTCGATCCCATCATACAGCTACTAGCCAAGAACCCATTACTGGCACCGAAGAGCAGCTGCACAACAAAAAGATAGAAAAAGTCACTCTGCACCACGGCACCTCGGTTACCGATATTGCAAAGCAAATAGAGCGGAATAAACCCAGCACGCGCGATGGCAATAACAAAAAGCCAGAAGGGTCTGTGAGCAAGAGACAGTCGGGGATTCAAGACTGCCATCCTGCCGATCATATCGCCCACGTTCCAGAACAGAAAGGCCAGCGGGATGAACACGGCTTTGGAATACAAACGAGAACTCCCCGAGTCATTGACGGACTCGATTTCGGCCGTGTACACGGGGAACACCATCGTGATAACGAAGCACAGGAAGACGGACGACGACGTAAGCCTGAGCTTCTTGAAGAGAGTCCACAGACCAACGGATTGGTCATGCTCCCTGGCCGTAGCCGCCTCGTCGTCGTCATGCGTCCACTTCGGCTGACCTGTTGGCTGTCTCTTGATGAGATGGAGGAAGGACAACAGCGCAAGAACCGAGACGACCGTTGCGGCGATGAAGTAGATAAACGCCGACTTCGACGACGACGATCCCGGTGGTACAGGAGCTTGGTCGTCTTTCTTCGTAGGAGCCACCACCAAGGCAGAGAGGATCTGAACAATGCACGGAAGTACACCGGCCAACCCTTGGCCGCCCATGATTGCCTGGGTGTATTCGTCCCTGTCGAAGCCCAAGACATAGGCAAAAACACCATTCTGATTAATCCCGGTCGCCAAACTGGCCCCAAACACCATGACCATGAGAAAGCCAAAATATGCTCGTACGGAGATATCCTTCATGATGACTGTGGAGAAGGCAAGCAAAGTAAATACGATACTGGTCATCAAGAGAGCGACCGTGATACGCCATGGGTAGGACGCATTCTTCTGGACTTTCGCCAGAACAGCCACGCTGGCGAGGTTAGTGACCGTAAATACCGACAGAATCGATGGCTGGTAGTGCGTTGACGCCCATTCATCGGATTCAAACCGGGTGTGAAAATATGGTGCTGCTGCAAGAAGCGTGTTCCTGTCCGGCATATTAGACAGGGCGTTCTGAGAATGAGTAAGGTTCCGCCTACCAGGCCCATAACATGGATACACCCAACAAGAAGAAGATGCCATATATCAATCTCGAGAAACGGGCTCCCGGCTGGGGCCCGATATATGATGGTGGGTCACTATCCTCTGCCTCGGCTGAGCCTTCGAGCGGCTCGTATGCCGCCTGGTCGGATATAAGTCGGCGAACACGGTCCATCGTTGTTCTTGACTACGGAAAGACCCAAGAGCCAGAGTCTGCTCCTAAGTATTCTGGGGTTGAAGCTGACTTAGGGTGGTTTAAGCGAGCACATAGTAGGAGATAAGAAAACAGATGTCTCATCATGGTAGCTCAGTCATGCCCCCAAGATATCCGGAAAGGAATTATGAATATCCGTTATCACGTGACTGTATCCGCGTCAGCTCGGCCTGGACGAAGGATATAGAGCGATGGAAGAAAGTGCGATGGCTTTAGTATATACTCGCTGACCCAACTGGCCCGATTAATCAAGGAAGAGCACAACGGGGATTTCACAAGGGCTCGGGCAATTTCCCAGCCTTGGAACACGTGCTTGATTCCCTTTGTACTGTGTAGGTCACTAGGCTAGGAATGCCGGCCCAACATCTACGCGATTGTATGTGTTGTCAATCGAACAAGCATAGAGAATAATAAAATAGTAGAATTCAATTTGATTATCATAATCGTGAAAAGAATACGGCCCAAATTAAGCTGCAACCTGAGCAGAAAGCCCATCGAGCTCGCGCTGCCAGTTACGGTGCTTCGAGACATGCCAGATGAACATTTCCGCCAGACCCTTCGCATTGGGTCCAACATCCGCCACCTTCAGCGTGGATGCAGCCTCGCCGTGTCCCGTCACAACACCATAGGACTCGAGGCTGGCAGTGCCGGAAGAGGCGACCTTGACCTCGGAAAGACCGATCTGTTTCTCGATGAAGGGAACGGCCTCATTAACACCAGCAATGGGTTTGAGATGGGCAAACGACTCGGTAATCCAGAACTTGGCGACGCCATTCTTAGCCAGCGCGTTAGCGACGTGCTTGCCGCCTGGCACGAATACAGCATCAAAGAGCGTGGATCGCATGCCATTGAAATGGTGATCAGGTACAACAGTCTCTCCGGACTCAGACTTGACGCCCTGGCGCTGGGAGCCTATGGTAAACACAAAGGCACCACGAGATTGCAGCGTCTCCTTCATCGCGGAATAGGAGGCATGGTCGAAGCCGTCGCCAAGTAGAATGGCGATGCGGCGTGTCACAATGATGGGGTTCTCGGGCTGGTACTCTAGCTGGCTGAGGCCCTTTGCTTTCCGACCATGATTCTCCTTCAATGCCTTGCTAGGCGTGTCGGCACCGACATTGGTCGCGACAGTCTTCGCCAGGTCCAGGCTGATGGTCGCCAGGCGTTCGGTCATGCGCTTGTATACCACGGGGTCGTCGCAGTGATCCAGCTCGAAGGAGAAGGCTTTGGCGACGTGGATCTTCTCGATCTCTGACAACGAGTTGTAGAAGGTCTGTGCTTGGCTGTGGTGATCTTTAAATTTGTCTGAAAGCGCTCGCAACTTCATGCCCTGCTGTTTCTGTGGGTAGCTGACGAATCCGCCCTGCGAAGGTTCCGCCGGTGGGTTGGCATGGAACCGGTTCGGCCAATAATTGACTGTTCCCTTATTGATCCGGTGCTTCATAGCGCCGTCGCGGTTGACGAGGGCCATGTAGGGACAAACAGGGCGGTTAATGGGCAGTTCCTCCCAGTTCGGGCCAAGACGTGAGATCTGCGTATCAAAGTAGGAGAAGTTCCGGCCTTGCAACAGCGGATCATCGGAGAAGTCAATTCCCGGCACAATGTGGCTGGTACAGAAGGCAGCCTGTTCGGTCTGCGGGAAGAATTCATCGACGTTGCGGTTGAGCTCCAGCTGGCCGATGTAGCGGATGGGCACTAGTTCCTCGGGCCAGACCTTGGTAGCATCGAGCGGATCGAATTCGAAGTCGTCCACCTTCTCTTCAGGGATAAGTTGCAATCCGAACTTCCAGCGCGGGAAGTGGCCAGCGTCAATAGCGTCCATAAGATCCTTGCGGTGGAAGTCAGGGTCCTGGCCACAGATCTTCAAGGCTTCGTCCCAGACGAGGGAATGTACGCCTAGTTCAGGAGTGAAATGGAACTTGACGAAATGGCGTTTGCCTTGTGCGTTGATTAGAGAGTAAGTGTTGACTCCGAAACCTTGCATCATTCGAAACGAGCGTGGAATAGCCCGGTCAGACATAATCTACACCATTGTCAGTCCCATTATCAGTCACTGAACCTCCATGCTACGAGGAGCGTACTTACCCATTGATTCATATGCGTCGTCTCCGAATGCATATACTGGAAATCCCAGAAGTTGTTGTGGGCACTCTGACCCTGCGGAATCTCATTATGCGGCTCCGGCTTGACAGAATGAATAACATCCGGGAACTTGATAGCATCCTGGATAAAGAAGACGGGGATGTTATTTCCGACAATATCCCAGTTACCCTCTTTCGTGTACATTTTGATGGCGAATCCGCGCACGTCCCGCACTGTATCTGCACTACCCTTACTCCCCTGCACCGTAGAGAAACGCAGGAACAGCGGCGTCTCACGACTGGTATCCGTCAAGACGCCGGCGGTGGTAACGTCCTCGGCACTCTCGAAGAGCTTAAAGGTACCAAAGGCACCTGTTCCGCGGGCGTGGACAACGCGCTCAGGGATGCGTTCATGATCGAAGCGCATGATCTGATGAATTTGATACATTAGCAGTGCACAAATGGGCCAACTTTAGTGAACGTACCTTCTCACGCGCGATCTGGTCTTCGAGAAGCATAGGACCCGTCTTCGACTCGCTGGCAACACGCAGCCAATGGTCCGGGTCGGAGATCTTGATGCCATAGTCGGTTGTCATGTGCTGCTTGCCACCTACTTCGACCATGTCCTTTTGCATGTCGGCCAACTTGGCATCTGGAGCTTTGGTTGCCATCGTGATGGATAATTCGGGAAAGAGTTCATGCACTGGTTAGATGGAAAAAGTGGTATAATGAAGTATTAAAGTTCGGATGGCATCGACATCATATTTATGTACAGAGACGTAGGGGATCCAGGCTGTTTCGCCAAAGAATTTGCCTTTCACTATTGTCAATGATGTAACACCTATGCCAATCACAACGCTTATGAAAGGAGCTCAAGTGTAGCAGCATTCCCCGCGAGTGGGGCTACTGGCATCGGCTATAGGTTAATCGGGGAAGAAGGAACCAGAAAATCCTGAAATCCGTCATGAGGTTTCCGACATGAAGCAAGAAATATTGCGAATCGCCACTCGTTGATTCGCGGGTTGTGGGGTTCCATGGGTTCGGATCGGCAGAGCTCGATGATGTGAACCAAACGTTGCTTGCAAAGCCGATGACGTTTCAAAAGTTCTGGAACTCGGATTCTGAATAATCTGGAGAATAACAAAGACGTGGCCAGGAAACTTGAAGCTCGGGTGGGTTTGACGTCACCTGATACCGGGATCGGCAAGTGGGCCTTGCAGAGAAATAGACTGTATACATCTAAAAAAACAGTATATTGAAGAGTAACCTTTCCGTATCACTTTTTAGCTACGACGATCCGAAATTCGTAAAATATGTCGTTTATGCCAGAAGATGAATGTTCGTCAGGATGGCGCCTGTCTCCTAATCTAGCAACCTCCAATAGAAAAGGTGGTAACAACTTCACCTGAGGGATAGCTGACCAGACAATTCGATTAGGGTCGTCTTCTTGTGTTTGGAAGAGCCACGGGAACCTCTCATTCGCGATAAACGGTTCTTGAGGGAAGACATGAATATCGTACATGAGAAACGCACAAATTCACATATATTAACCGTATTAACACTTCATCATAGACTAATTGATCGACATTCTGCATAAAACCTCGGGGCTTTGCATAGTTGAATAGACTAAGCCGTGCGTCGGGCATAAGATAGGCAGACCCTTTCATTCCCGACAACTTGGCCCTCAACAAAGCAGCACATGTAGTTGATAAGTCCTAATAGGCAGGACAAATTTGTCAATCGTCTAATTCCGCCCGAATACCCAGGTAATTGCTCTATCCACAGCTGGCATCTTGCCCACCAAATCTGTTGAGTCACTCTCGCGTGGTAATCTGGGATTGACTATGGACATGAAATATCCCTCCGGTGACTCCTCTCCGGGATTGACTCCACAAGCACAAACAATCCAGGACCGCCCTGATTATTAGTCACAGCGACAACGGCCTGTGGGTCAAGAATAGTCGAATCCTGGGAATCCTTGGTGTATTGCATGGCTGACAATAGATTCCGCCCCTTTTCAAGTTGTCGTTAACGACATCGATTTTGTCACGATCCATTTCTAGGGGTAAACTGATGCGCCAGGAGCAAAAGACCAGGATGCTTGGACAACTCCCAAGAACTGCCTTACTTTATAAGGAGCCTTGATCGTCACAGATGTAACTATAAATCGCCGTTTCTTGGAAGCCTGTCTAGAGGATCCTTTGCTCTAATCCCCAAGATCTCCCTTTGGCCCCCCGTTGACGACCGCCGGACGTGTCACTTCTATTACGGGACTACTTCAATTTTTCTGCCCGTTTCGGCTCCCTTATATTTTGATAATCTTTCAAACCAAGTCAGAAATGTTTTCATATGTAATACATAGTTGAGTTTGCTATAGTATGATTTTGATTTTTCTTTTCAGGCCCCCAGACCTGTATTTTTCTTCTTCTTGATAAAGGGCCCTTCGGAAGTCACCTATCTAGTGTAGTCAGGCCGCAAAACCACTCGGTCCCTTGAGCAATTATAGCTTTACTGCCTCGTCCCTGAATTTAAAGATCCGCCTGCCTTATACGGAATCTGCCAAATAACGATAAAAGCACAAGTACGGAGCAGAATCGTATGTAACACAGGTGGGGAATATACTAGTAGGGGCCAAACTATTTTGCACCACTAAACTCCTTAGCGGATAGCCTTTTAGCGACGGATCTATAGGATAAATTAAGTAACACCCCCTCAGACGAACGTAGACGACCGGATTTGGCCCTATGGCCCCTATTTGGCACCGCATCTACTCTTCGAAACAAACGGGGGATTACTATCATCGACCCGTCGCCGCGTCTAGTGTTTTCAAAGTAAACCTCGCATGAATAGCCTTTAAGTCTTGCAATTACCTCTTGCGAACCTCAAACACCGTCTCACTGAGTACCCATCATGAAATTTTCTTCCTTTGCCCCAGTTTTTGCTCTTTTCGCTGTAGCCCAAGCGGCTGTTCTGCCAAAAGGACTTTTGGCAGAGTCAGCTTCTGAACCGGGTATTTTGTCTCAGCGAGACGACTCGCCTAATATCTACGAGAAAAATGTCGCAAAAGGCCGTGGTTATTGGGATCAGCTGCAAACCAACCTACAAAACGCTGATGCTACTGATGTTGCCGCGATCGACTTCAACGCAAAATGGGAGGCCCGTTCACCTAGTATCGGCTCCGCGTCCGAAGCTGCGCAATTCGCTATGCAGAAAGCTGGACTCAATACTAGGCAGCAATTTCTCTCCGTGACAGCAAGTCTTAAGACAAATCGTTATATCTATTATACGGACGCTATGTCACCCTCAATCGGCACCATAATCGCAAAGAACAACTATGGACGGGCAGTCGATCCACACACCGGGGTCGTAACGAATGCGCCAGACAAATGGTCTGCCGTGACATGGCATCTTTGGCAGCAGGCTTGTAAGCAAGCTAATAATAAAGACCCATCCGGGCTTGATTACGTTTTCCAAGACCATATCATCAACGAGCAAACAATCAAGGCCCTGGATGATGCAATGGCCGTCGCAGAAAGCAAGAAAACCGACAATCAGGGAGAACCGGTAGTCACGACATGGACGCCAGATGACGATCAGTTTTATGCTGCACTCGCAACACCGAATGCCGTTGGAGTCGCATATCTTCTAAAAGATTATCCTGTCGGGTTAGGTTGGAAGACTATTGAGAGTATTTCAGTGTTCTGGCTTCACGGCTTCAAGGAGCCCAATATGTGGTTCAAACTAAAACCTTTCTGTGGTTGATGCGACGTAACTTGTTGGTTGGTGCCAGCGTCCGGTCTTGGGGGGGTGATATTGATATAAATAACACAATCCTTCCAGAGTGGGCACTCTTTCATCTTGATTTGTATAGAAGAAAACGAGAGTCGAAGCCTCGGTGTATTCTCCCAGTATGTTTATGGAATGTATGTCTGAAGCTGACGAGTTCGTCTTTTGGGTCTTTTATCGCAGTATAGATCAGTACCGCCGGCGGTGAGTCACCCGCCAAATGCCCCCGCCGTTCAGACCGACTCCAGCTCATGGAGAACTTACAGCCGGTTATTCATGCTTGAATGAAGCGTCACTGGTGTACACTGCTGCGCTGCTGACTAGAGCATACAATGGCGATCCAACCGGAACGCTTAGGACACTCAATACTTGACCAGTTCCTTCTGGATAAAGATTGGAAAAACTTCAATCATGGTAATTTCCTAGTTTTCTCATCAACCTTCCTTGTTATTTCCACGAGGCATCACTAAAACTCCAACAGGGGCGTATGGCACATTCCCTGTGGAGGTTCGAGACGAGCTCCGCAAGTTCCAGGATATGATCGAAGGACGACCAGACAAGTTTATACGTTATCTATATCCCAAGTTTCTAGATGACTCTCGAAAGGCAATGGCCTGCTACCTGAATGTCCCTGTGGCCGAGGTGGTCTTTGTGAAAAGTGCAACTGTTGCCATCAATACGGTGCTTCGAAATCTTTCCTACGATCCGGGGGACATGATTATATATTTCTCCACCATTTTCGATGCTTGTGAGAGGACGATCGAATCTGTCTTGGAGACTACACCGCTTAAAGCTCGAAAGATAGATGTTTTGTTCCCAACTAGCCACGAACAAATCGTCGCGAGTTTCCTCGACACAATCAAAGAAGCCAAGCGAGAGGGTTTCAACGTACGGATTGCCCTTTTTGACACCATTTCCAGTCTACCAGGTGTCAGGTTTCCGTTTGAATTGTTAACGGAGGCTTGTCGAGCCCACGGGATTCTTAGCTGCATTGATGGCGCACATGGTGTCGGCCACATTCCTCTCGATCTCGGCAAACTAGGAGCGGATTTCTTCGTGAGCATGACCCATAAGTATGAGTCTCCGCGCAACGACTTCAAAATTTATTGGCCCATATACAATGCTAATTTTCCGGTCTAGATGGCTCTATAATACAAGGGGCTGTTCGGTTTTCCACGTTGCTCTCCGCAACCAACAGCTCATCCGCACAACAATCCCAACGTCTCATAACTTCATTCCGAAGCAGCAGCAGTACGAATCCTCGAAGCTGACAGCATCGCTGCAGCCTAATTGCAAATCACCCTTCGAACTGATGTTTCAGAATGTTGCAATCACTGATGACACTCCTTATTTGACTATACCAACCGCACTTCAGTATCGCAGCCGACTCCCTGGAGGCGAGGATGGGATTTTCAATTACATTCGTGAGATCGCCTTTTTCTGGAGGGAACCTCGTCGCCCAAATACTTGAGACGGAGGTTCTAAGAGAGCCAAATCATGAACAGACAGGACCGTGCAGGATTCGCGACTGTGCGTTTGCTAATGTGCGTCTTCCGTTGGTGATCTCGGACTGCAGCTCGGGAGGGCAGACGAAAGTCATGGAAGGACTAAATACAACGCCACATTGGCCTGTTCTGAGTACTTTGCAAGCATCGAATGTCGCAACGCGGATTCAAGATCAGCTGGTGGCAGACTATTCCACTTCTGTTAATGTCTTCGTACATAACTCGGCATTGTGGGCCCGAATCAGCGGTCAGATATATTTGGAGCTTGAAGATTTCAGGTGGCTTGCACAGGTTTTGAAAGTAGTATGTGCGGAAGCATGTGCAAGCTTGGGAGAGTCGAATGCGAGATGAGGAGCCGTACCTACACTCTGATAGCCAAGCCATCATTTCAAGGACTTAAAAATGCTATAAGGGTTTCGCAAGGCCGACGTCGGGACGGTAGAAAACAAACTCGGAGCAGTCCATACAGGTCAATCAAGGAGAATGCTCTTACTGAAGAAAGAAGATAGATTTGTACATAGAGAAGCTGAAGGGACCCAACATCTAATATCTATCGCATAAAATCCAAGATGCAAAAGTGAGTATGAGAAGAGAGTATATCCCAGAGACCTGAGTGTAAATGATACACTCTAGATTGAAATGAGTGGTACCCGAGCAGACAGCATCAGTGGGTGGTATTTTTCGGTGTTGGTTGTTCCTCCTCATATTCCTCCAACTCCGCCTCCGCCTCCGCCTCCTTCTGGAGCTGCCAGAGCTCCTCCGCCGTCTTCGCTGCCCGTGCAGAGGGAGCGACCGGGGGGTGCACGGGCTCGCCGCCGCTCATCTGCCATTCCATGAGTTTTGTAAATGCGCCATCTGGGCGGGCGCTAAGCTCATCATATGACCCTTGTTCGGCCACTTTCCCGTCGGGCCCGAGCACAATGATGGTGTCAGAGCGTTTGATCGTGGAGAGCCGGTGAGCAATGCTGATGGTGGTGTTGTTGCCCCGAAGAAGGGCAGCCAATGCACTGTTCACTAAGGTCTCGGATTCTGCATCCAGAGCGGAGGTCGCTTCGTCCAGAATCAGAATATCAGGCTCCTTGATCAGAGCGCGCGCAATGGCAATTCGCTGCTTCTGGCCGCCAGACAACTGAGCGCCGCGAGCTCCCACGTGGGTGTCAAGGCCATCGGGGAAGTCACTGATGAATTGACAATTGGCCTGGCGTGCCGCAGCAATGATCTCCGAGCGTGTGGCATCAGGTCGGCCGTAGGAGATGTTGTCCGCAATTGTTCCAGAGAAAAGGACCGGCTCCTGTGCAACCACGCCAATCTTTCTTCGCAGAGACTTGGCGTTCATTCCGCTGATATCTTTCCCATCAATGAGTACTTTCCCTTCAGTCGGTCTGTAGAAGCGGAGAAGGATAGATGCAATAGTAGATTTGCCTCCGCCAGAAGGCCCAACAATTGCAACGTTGGAGCCTTGTGGGATCTCGAAATCCAAGTCTTTGAAGATCTTGACAGCAGGACGAGTCGGATAGCTGAAGGTGACGTTTTCAAATCGAATGGGACCGCGCGCGGACTCGACTTTGAGGCCCTTAGTTGGGTGAATTGTGGGCTGGCGGTCTTGCAACTCAAAAAGCCGGCTTGCTGCGCCCACGCCTTTCATAAGCTCAGAGTAAAAACTGGAAAGGCCGAACATGCTGGAGCCGGCATAAGCGGTGTACATCAAGAATGATGTCAATTCTCCGATAGTGATAGCCCCAGACTGCACCATGGAACCTCCGGCATAGAGCAGAGCCAAGATAGTCATGTTGCCCATCAGTCCCGTCTAGAGGTAGTTAGCAAGGGCCTGTTTTGGTGGAAAGAATGAACGTACCGAGCTGAAAAAGGTCGCACTGATCAAAGATTCCCTCTTCCCCAGATCAAAGATTTTGCGCACTTGCTTATTGTACCGATTGACTTCAAGTATTTCGCCTGCGAAAGACTGACTGGTCTTCACGTTGCCTAGGCGTTCCTCCGCGATTTTGGTTAGGGTTCCTAGATTCTTTTGAATCTGCCGGCTGAGGTTCCTGATAGCCCTTCCATAGAAAAGCGCACCGAGGCCTATTGGCGGGAGCAGTAAAGCAAGGATACTGGACAGTTGGAGGCTGGTATAAGCCATCAGACCAAATCCGGCAGCACCGCTGACAGCCGCCCGTAGACCATCGGACAGATTTTGCGTGATACTCTTGCCCACGATGATGGTATCGGAACTAAGGCGGGAAATCAGGTCACCAACTCGATTCGCATCGAAGAACTCGGCATCTTGCACAAATGTCTGGCGGAACAGCTTGGAGCGCAGTCTAGCCACGATGCGTTCGCCCACGATCCGAAGAATGATAATGCGGCCGTAGTTGGCAGCAGCGCCCACGAGCAACACTCCAGCCAGGGCGCTGTAGAACATCGGAAGGCTCAGCCCAAAGAGCTCGTTGCCCCCCTCGGTTACGCTTTTCGTGGCGGTATCCATGATCTTGCCGATGGAGAACGGGATTGACATGGTGATAGACGAGGAGATCAGCAGGAAGAAGAATGCGAATCCGAGCGTCTTGGCTTCGGGGCGCGCGATCTTGAGGAGGCGCCAGATTTCCGCAAACCCAGATTTCTTGCCCGATGCGCCATCCTTGGCCAATCTGGCACTCAGATTGACCTGGGCTGCCTGTGCTGCTCGCTCGGAAAGCTCAAACCCCTTGTCCACATCTTCATCTTCCTTCTCCGGAAACGGCCGGCCGGCAGCTTTAGTGTTTGTTGATGGGGTTGTTGGTGGCCTTGCCTGGAGAGCTCGCGTAGTGGAACGGAAATACCGGACTTGTGAGGCTATGGGAGAAGGTGTAGGGGTATGTTGAAAGCCATTCGTGGGAAGTCCGGCTACGACGGGTTGACGGCAGAGAGGCGTAGGCCCGTCGCGCAACGCTCCTGATGAAAAATGGCTTGCGCTAGACCGAGCTGCTGTGAAATTCGCTCGTGGAAAGACATCTCCGAGAACCGGTCGAATGGCCCGGGGAGAGAGGCCCGGAGCCCAGGAAATTGGGAGCCGGCGCATCGCGAGAAGTGATGCACGAATAATGGAAGGATATCAGGGAAAGAGAGTGAACGATGCCATACTCTCTCAAGTCCAAGAGAAACAGCGCAGCCTGTGGCACGCCAGTCACTGACCCCTAATAATGTGCAGGATGATTGGAAGTGAACGGGTTATCCGCTCGGCAGAAAGCGGGCCCATTCTGCCACAGGCCACCGCCCATGGAAGCTTGTCGACAGCTTTGGATACTTTCTTCTTCTGCACTGGACTTATTTCTTGCACGCATCTGATCTAGTGACTTGAAGCAGTTCAGCTGGTAATATCCAGTATCTATCTATCTCATCTTTTTTTCTCTTTCACCTCTCTGCCGCCTTCATTCTCATCTTTGCTTGCTATCTATACCCCGCCTCACTGAACAATCAACCAGCTTAGGGGAAGATGGTTCTCGACTACAGCAAGTGGGATCAGCTCGAGCTGTCCGATGACTCTGACATCGAGGTTCACCCTAACGTCGACAAACGATCATTTATCCGAGCCAAGCAAGCCCAGATCCATCAACAGCGAGACCAGCGCCGCCTCGAAATCAAGACACTGAAGTATGAGCGCATCATCAACGATGGACTGCTCGAGCGCATTGATAAGCTTCTCGATTCTCTCAAACAACATGAGGACTCGTCCGCATCTCCCGACGAATTCATTTTTCAGTCCATCATGGACTTTGCCAGCAACCCGGCCGTCGACCAAGCCCCTCCCCCGCCAGAGGGAGTTCATACACACGAGAAGGAACAGCCAAAGTACTCGCAAATGATGAGCTCGCTGGTGGACCAGGTGAAAAAGGATCTTGAAGACCCCAAGCCGGACAATCTTTTCAAGGCATATATCCAAGGCGTGGGCGAACACAAGGCGAAGGTGGAGGATCTCCAAAAACAGCTGCTGACGAAGCTGGCACAACTTGAGAAGGAAGAGGGGAGCAAGATCACCAGCGATCAGCTACATACCGGATTTGACACGTCACATGTAGCTAAAGCAAAAGCACCGGCTGCTTCTACGTCAAAACAGGGCTCCGTTGAGCTTTTGAACCCTGGAGCTGGAGCCGGAGCCGGAAACCAGGTGTCCACATCGGTAGATGAGGATGATGATGACCCTGCGAATGTTGAGGTCAGCGAGCTGGCGAAACGCTTTGCGCATCTCAAGCCGGGTGATTACAAGGCCTATCTCAGGTTCATCTCTGAAAACCCCCAAATCGTTGCCGAGAAGGAGACAGATGGTCTGCTCGTTGAAGCCTTCAACAGCCAGATGAAGGGACAGGAGGCTTATGCCCGGCAATGTGTCCACCAAGGACTGCTGTTGCAGTACTGCCGTTCTCTTGGCCGTGACGGTGTCCAGATGTTTTTTACACGGTATATCATATCCTTTTCGCCCTTTTGGTTGCGCTCCCACTAATTATGTACAGGATTACGACCCCGGGCCACCGCGCATCGACCTTGTTCAACGACGACGTCAGAGATACCTACAACCGGATCAAGACCCGCGCCGCCGAGCTGAGCAAAGAAACCGCCAACGACCCGGCGGGCGTGGAACAGATTCAACTGCATGCCGTGGACCCCAACACCAAAATCACGATTAACATCCCCGCCGCCAACAGCGAGGATCCAACCGAAGTGGAAGTTCGCAAGGTCTTCGATGCATTCCCCGCCGATATGCAAAAGGCTCTGGAGTCCGAGTCCTTGGATGAAGTGAACAAGGTTCTCGGCAAGATGCGGGTGGAAGATGCCGAGTTGATCGTGGAGCACCTGGGCAATAGCGGCATTCTTAGTATGGAGGAGGAGGGGATTGTGGACGCCACCACGGACGAAGGCAGGAAGAAACTTGCGGAGCTGGAGGCGGAAGGCAAAGTAGAAGAGATTGGCGAGCCGGCGGGAGATGTGACCGAGCTCGATTGAAAAGTCGTATGCGTTGCATTATTGATAGGCATAGTATGTACTCCCAAGGCTGAGATTTTCTATACTAGTGATGGGAGGGGAAGAGAGGATGACAGGGCTTAGGCAAGATTAATCAAGCAAAATTCGTAACAAAAGAGATGAGCCACGGATTCGATCTGGCATGCTAAAGATGCCAGCCCGTTTGTCTATAGGGGCCTCCGAGGAGACGAGCCAGTCCCCGATGGGGCAGGCAGTAATCATCGCAGCAGGTCACTTCGCTGCGCCGCCAGAGTTAAGCTGGTGTCTTTACCTGAGATACTTGCAGTGGTATATATAGGCAGGGGGGCTGAGATACGGAACAATCTCAACATCGTTCATTTCTTCCAAGTATATAACTTGACATCCGTATGCCATACAACTTCCCTTCTCTACTGCGCTGGGAATGTCGATCCGTTGAATCCATGGTATTAACGATGCTATCAATCCGAAATCTTAAATTACACAGACCCCCCTGAAGACTTCGCTGGCGTGGAGTAAAGAAAGGGAAAAAACGTAACAGGTACAACCCAGTGATGGCAGCAGGCGTTGGCCAATTCCCGCTGTACCGCAATCTCCAAGAAGCAAGATATTCTAAATTCCAGTGGCACCGGGAGCACTCTCATCTTTCCGGAGACTGATCAACAATTCACGGAATCGCTCCTTGCCAGAACCACTGCCACCACCCGTGGAGCCCTTGCCCGACACATCCACCAGCTTGGCGATGCGCTCCCAGCTGGTACCACCGGCAGAGGTATCCTCGCGGTTGGCCATGAACTGCTCGGCCTCGGAGCGGGTCTGCGCGCGCGCCTTGTCGGCCTTGTTGTTGTAGGAAACGTAGAAGTCGTCGATGTCCTCGTGGGCCTTCTTGGTGGTGGATTCTTTCTTCTCGTTCGAGACCTCTGCGCGGCGGGCGATTTCGGAGTCGCGCTTCTCACGCCATTCTCTATGTGGTTGAAATGCAAAGTCAGTTACTGAATAGATATGGTGGCGGGAGTATTCAGGCCGGGTCAGGGGAAGAGCTCACCTGATGGGCTGGGTCTCTTCTTCGGGCTCCTGCACGTTTTGGTAGCCGGAGGGAGGGAAAGGCGACCCAGATCCAGTGATAGTACCACCAGGGGCCACTCGCTAAAAGGAACAACAGGTCAGCACATTGTAAGTCAACCCCCGGCTAGGTTCGCACCTCATTCTGCGCCTGTGTCTCCATTGACGGGAATGAAGATTCAAACTGGCCCATCTCCTCTGTCGGTCCGGCATCTTGTCCGCCCAGCAGGTCATCCCCGGTATCTACATTCGCGTCGCCGGCGACGTGGTCTTGAGCGGTCGCGAATTGTTCGGCGTCTTCACCGAGCGCAGCACGCTCACGGGCCAGGAAATCATCGTGGTCGGCACCCTGGCCCTCCTGAACCTCAGTCTGGCCTGAATTGATCGTCCGTCAGCTTCGATGTTAGCGGCAGGTGGGTTGATGCATACCCTCAGAGAAGTCCTCCAAGGAAGGGAAGCGATCGGCCATGTTGATGTCAGAGATTTGTGGAGTAGTGGTTCAGGAGCAACGCTTGGTCAAATGGTGATGGTGGTGTGACAAGACTTGGTGTGTGCAAAGAAACAGGAGTGAGCAGGCGTAGTTGCCAGATGTTGACGGCGAGCGCTCGGAGGCCGGCCATTCTGCCAGGCGAAGGCGGTGAGGGAGCTGCTGTTGGCATCAGTCAGTCTGGAGCTTCTGGTCTATCGCGTCTTCTTGCGACTCGCTTGTTACCTGCTTCACCCGTTTCCATTTCCCTGCCAATTTATCTCTCTGGTTTTGAGATCTTTCACCCCTCCCCAATCGCAAACAATTGCCCTCAGTTCCCAAATCAGTCCTACCTACACCCGGCTCCTCGTAGCAAGTCGCACCTTGTGGCACCCTGCTTCTCTCGCAGGAACAGCAATTCATCTAGCGCACACCTGTCTGCATTGTCGCCATGGCCTACACTGATGATGCCGTCAAGGCAAAGCTGTCTGCACTGAATGAGACCCAGGAGAGCATTGTGACTGTTGCGCAGTGGGTCATGTTTCACAGGTAGGCAAACACCGCACGCTAGAAAAGCAAGCTTGCTGACCCTGATGGAACGACTAGACGCCATGCGGATCGGACTGCCCAAATCTGGCTTCAGAAGATTCGCGACTCCAACCCACCGAAACGGCTGAACCTGATCTACCTGGCGAATGGTACAAACTCTCTAGAAACACTGCGATGCTGGTAGCTAACCGGACTACAGAGGTGGCGCAGCAGTCAAAAGCGCGAGGAAAAGATGATTTTCTGATTGCCTTCTCTCCAGTGAGTCCCTACTCTCATGCAAGACGTGGGGTTAGCTAATGTGGACAAGATCGTGGTGGAAGCCACAGCAACGGCCTACAAAGGTGCTACGAATGATATCCAACAGAAGATTCGCCGTGTGACGGAGGTGTGGAGACAACGCAATGTATTCGAAGGTCCAATCTTGGAAGCTGTGGAAACCCGGGTGAATGGTAGGTCGCTTCCATCGCATGTCCATTCGCAAGCTCATGCCCTCTCCCGCAGAGATCGATAAGTCACGCTCGACCGGCAAGAAACAACAGCTTGGTGGCTCGCTCTTCAAAGACTCGTCCTCGGGGTCTACGCCGTCAGAACTGCAACCACTTGTGCCTCTGCAGGTTGCCCTCACCAAGGCCGCCATGACTTCCAGCACTTCGGCCACAACTGCAAATATGGAGTATGAGAAAATGAACGACGGAAAGACTCCACACCCTACTCCTCCAGTGCATGCCGCCCGTCTCAGTCAGCTGCTGAAAACACTTGCCAACGCGGAGAGCTCGGTGTCAGAGGTCATCAAGTCGCGGCGCGCATTGATCGATGGTCTCGAGAAGATCCTGGCTACCAACCGCTCGGAACTATCCAAGGAAGAAACACTTGCTACCAACCTATCGGAAAAGAAGTCACTGACAGACACGAAGAAACGCGAAGTTGAGGATGCAATCATGCGCGGTCTGTCCACGGACGAGTCCTCGGGCGCGCAGCATGGAGATCACAGCATGCAGGATGAAGACGGCGGTCGTCCCGAAGTCGAGGCTCTCACTCCTCCCCCAGTGGAAGCCATCACACCCGTCGGATCTCCGAAGCCAGATCAAGGCCACCATGCCCCAATCACGGAGGAGCCTACTCTTGATCTGTCCGGAATTTCTGGCGCTGCTCTCCCCGATATGTCCAATATTTCTCCCGGTGGCGGCAACGATTTTGATCTCAGCCATGCCAATGGTGCAGGAGCCAAGCGACGTAAAACCACACATGGCGAGGAAGACTATGCGCAGTTTGCAAGTGGTGATTTAGACGCCGATGTGGCTGAGCTGCTTGCTCAGGAGGGACGGCAGTAGTTGTGTGTTTTTCTTTTCTTTCGCAAATCATTCTGTTCATATCATTTGGACAAGGCATTCTGGGTACCTGGTTGACGTATCGAGATGTGTACAATATTGAAGTTGTCAGAAGTCATGGTATTCAAGGATTGTCTCTCTTCTACAGTTAATGTATATGCATCAAAACGTGTGTACAGTTGACAATATCCAGTCACATTAACTATCGCTAAACAGAAAAGGCATGTATTCATCGGAATATATCCGGTTCCAGCCATCGGTCTCGCGCGAACCGAGCCGAGGAGCGATGTCTCAATCGACTCGTAGATGCAACGACAGACCGGATATTGCTGGAAGATTGGGTATCATCAGGCGGTGGCGGTGGAGAGCTACTTCGTTTGGGCTTGATAATTAGGACGATGATCAAGCCCACAACCACGAGGAATAGCAGTAGCATGATTTTGCGTTTCGTGGTGCGGCGTTGGTAGCTCGTTGCCTGGAAGGGATAGTGTCAGTAGGAACCTGCCTGTGAGAAACACTGCGGGGGAAGGCATATTTCCAAACATACCACCTTGATCTCCTTGTCTGCCGCTTTTACCTCCGTGCCCATCTTCTCCACATTATAGTCTATGCGATCCAGCATGGTTCCCTGGTCGATGACCATGGTCTGCAGCTCGCGGAATATATCAGACAGCTCGATAATACCCTTTGCGATATCGTTGATTTCGCGTTCTCGCTGTGCGATGGTGGCGTCGTTTTGGCCGGTTGTTCGTTGGGACGTCTGCATGAGCATCGTTTGTGAGAAGGACTTGTCCGCGTCGGACTCCATTAATGACGGATCGCTGTATGGGTTCTGCACCGGGGTGGGGGCGCGGTCGAATGGTGTTCCCAGGCCTTCTAAGTCTCGGAGTTCTAACACCCATATTAGTTCAACGTCCCATATGCACATATTCGAACTGTGGTGATTCCATACTCCTCAGGTATGTACTCTGCTTCTTCCTGAACCTCGCACTAGACTCCTGCACCCGGGCTGCCAGGGAGATCTGAATATTCCGCGCCATCGTCTCCTCCCCACTAGTCACACTCCCCTGCTGCTTCGACTCGCGGACCATCATCTCAATCCGCTGAATCGACTTCTGGCAATCGTGGAACGCACGGGTGATATCCTGGGTGTACCGTTCGATCACACTCTCATCCTGCCTGCGGGCCTCTTCGTCTCCAAACCCGGGGAGCAGGTGTTTCTGGTGCAGCTTATCGAGCTGTGATGATTTTTGCGCTATATCCGCCAGCAGCTCGGACACCTCATCCTGCACGTCGACCCAGCGCGGCGGCAGGAGGTCCATCTCGATGACCATGTCGCCATCTTCCTCGAAGCCGCCGGTCTCGGAGATCAGACGGCGGCTTTCTTCGTTGGTGGAGGCTGTGTCGGAGAAGGCATTGAAGAGGGTCTTTTTGGACGGGTGGTGCGCGAAGGACTGGCGGTAGGAGATGTAGCTTGGGAGACGATGTTAGCTAGCTGGCATATTATTGATGGACGAGTGCGTACAGGTTGGTGCGATCCCGCCACATCGTGGGTCCGAGGGGCGTTGAGGGAAGTCGGTCTTATTGACTGGGGAATGCGGGTTTCATGATTCGCTTGATCCTTGGGTTGGAGAGTGGTGGTGAGAGAGCGCGACGATGGGGATGACGATGATGATATCGGGGAGCTTGAAGCTCCACGTGAGAAGGGGCTGGTTTTGGGGTTGTACGGCCGGTATTGGTAATACCCACTGGACAGGGAGTGTAATTTTGGTATGGTCAGCACAGGAACAAATGTAGCATTCCTCGTGGATAACGAACAGATCTTGGACATCTTTCGCTAGTCTTTTAGCAACTACATTGTCTTTAACAACCCCAAGTCTAGCACAGGTTCATTCTTCTATCTCTCCTGTATCCAGGTACTCACACAGTATAGCTGGCTTCCTTCAATCCATGTTGTCCTTTCTGCGATTTTGCCCCAGCTCGGACGGAGATGGAAGCCACTCAATTTCTCCAATCCGAACTTCGTTCGGACACCTGAATACCACAAAATAGAAGAAGAGAGCCTCCCCGACTATACTGCTGCCCGCTATTATTCTACTCGAATAGGAGATGTCCTTAGATGACGAGCTCAAGATGTATAGACGCACAGAGCAATCCCCCAAAGGCCATCCCGGTCGTGATGCCTTACTTGATACGTTTTACATCGATGGACCTGAAGACAGGCACCAATGCCTTGTGCATCCTCATTATGGAAGAGTGTTCTGACGTTTTTACGCCGCAACCCGATAGAGAGGCTGCCTTCAGCAATCATGGCATTCGTCCTCAAGCGCCTGTTTTTAGCATTGGATTATCTGCATACGGAGTGCCAAACCATACTTACTGGTTTGTGGCCCTATTTATCCTCCCCTGCTTGTATAATTTACTTACTCTTGTTTTTGTTAGACATAAAGGCAGGCAATATCATGCTCGGTATTAACGATGATTCGGTCTTTACCAACTTTGAGGAGAAGGAACTTCAACACCCTGTTCCGAGGAAAATGGTAGTCATAGATGGGAGAATAATCTACATGTCCCGGGATCTCAGAATGCCTAAATATTTAGGTACCCCAGTCCTATGCGATTTTGGCTCGGCCATGCTCGGCGATCAATACCACTCGGAATTCATTCAACCTAATATCTACCGAGCACCGGAAGTGATTCTAGGAGTTCCATGGACGTACAGCGTCGATATATGGAACGTGGGATGCATGGTAAGATATACAGCCCGATCCTGATCATCATGGTGCAAAAATTGCTAAAAGCTAGGTTGTAGATTTGGGACATTTACGAAGGCGGTTCTTTGTTCACGGGCCAAGACCCCGAATTCCACAAGTACCGAAGTCGAGCCCATCTCGCTGAGATGATAAATCTTCTCGGTCCCCCGCCGCCTAGTCTTCTTGCCCAAGGGGAGCTAAGAGACAAATTCTTTTCAGACAAAGGCAAGTCAAGATCTTTTGTTATCTTATTATCTAGTGATTTCTAGTAGCCAAATTCACTAACAATATACGACTTTCTAGGCGATTTTCGCACAGAAATTTTATTGAAGGATCAGGTTCCACTTGAAGAACGGGAAAACAATATCGACGAAGAGCAGGAGAGAAAGGCATTTTTACCTCTAATGCGAAAAATGTTGCAGTGGGAGCCCAGCAAGCGTAGCTCCGCTAAGGAGCTATCGGAGGACGAATGGATACTCAAGCACTTGTAAGGATACATCAGGGAACGAATTATACATATGCTGCTATAAGAACGATACTTGGTTAAAGTTCTACTGTATGCATTGGAAGCACGTTCTGGATTCATATGTAGTAGCTGATTCAGCTCATGCCTGAGGAATACGTCTTCGCGCCCGTGTCTGCCCGAGAGGCTATATTCGAATCCGCAAGGCACTATTTTCATTTCTTTCAACACCTTGGGCTCTAGTCCTCTTAATCTAGAACCCTCGTCCGTAACTGGGGATTCACATTTTCGTTCGGTACATCGTCCTTGACCCCCATCAACAAGCGTTTCAGACAAGAAATGCCAAGCGACAGGGCTGAAGAGGATGCGTTGGGCTGACACTAAGATCTAGACTCACCGCCCGGATTACGTACTCCCAGGCACGGATTCTGCTGTGTTGGTGCCATTATTGTGTTTCCCCTTAACCCACTCTCCTTCTCCCCCACCATCACCGTCCAATCCAACTCTCCCGGTTTGGATCTTTTCTTCCTTCTGTCCCATTCCACTCGCCTCATACACTTACCTCACCATGGTGCGCACTTCCCTTTCCATTTTCCATTTTCTGTTTCAGCCGCAAAACCCCCCGCCTTTGCGGGGCAAAAGGCAACGCTCATTCCGGCTAACGATCTTCCCAGGCCGACTCCCTGACCGAAGAGCAGGTCTCCGAGTACAAGGAGGCCTTCTCCCTGTTTGTGAGTGATTCCCCATGTGCATTGAGGGTTCCATCTGCTGACGAGCATTTCTTGCTATTAATAGGACAAGGATGGCGATGGTTAGTTCTTTCTTTTTCTTCTTCGGAGGAAATCAGTCACGCCCGGGATACTTACACGATCCCCCAATAGGCCAGATCACCACCAAGGAACTGGGCACCGTCATGCGCTCGCTGGGCCAGAACCCGTCCGAGTCGGAGCTGCAGGATATGATCAACGAGGTGGATGCCGATAACAACGGCACCATCGACTTCCCCGGTAGGCAACCCCCAGCGAGCAAGTCAGACAGACAGACAGAAGGTTGACGTACTCCCAGAATTCCTCACCATGATGGCCCGCAAGATGAAGGACACCGACTCTGAGGAGGAAATCCGGGAGGCGTTCAAGGTTTTCGATCGCGACAACAACGGCTTCATCTCGGCCGCCGAGCTGCGCCACGTCATGACCTCCATCGGCGAGAAGCTGACAGACGACGAGGTGGACGAGATGATTCGCGAGGCTGACCAGGATGGCGATGGCCGGATTGACTGTAAGTCGTTTCCTATACATTTACCGTCATACATACTAACGCATCACACGCAGACAACGAGTTCGTCCAGCTCATGATGCAAAAATAATTTCTCTCTGTGTCTCCTTTCCATATCATGCTAGCTGAAGTCGCGGTTTCCCAACGATGATCTTATTTTCCTTTTCTCATGTTTTCCAGCCCTGGTGCTGGTATCTGTAGTCTGATGTGGTTGGAAGCTATAGCTTGCATGTCTCATGATCGAGCGTGCACTTTGCATTGCAGATATCTCGTTTAGTCTAGGTCGAGTTCAGTGGCAGTGTTCATAAACAGCGTTTGATAAAGGTATCTCATGTTTGTTCGTATTCTAATTCTAACGCCTACCGGTTAAACCGGAGTGCCTCCATATACTGTCTCGCCAGATCCGCCCCAGCATACGGGTCTAGATCCTCCTCTTGTACCATCGCATCTCCAAAGGCAGTCTCCGCAGGCACCGCACTCCGCCGCTTACAGCTTGCCAATCGATCCTTAATCTCCTTCCCAACACCAGGAACCAGAATCGACTCACGTCCCCCATCCACCTGCAACCTTGTCCAAAACTCACGGATCAAAGACGCCGTCGCCGCCAGCTCCGCATCGATATCGGACTCCTCAATCGCCGCAAAGGACACATCAATCCCTGAATCCGCGTCCGAAACCGCGTCCGACAAAGGCAACGACTCGATCACCGACGGACCCCGCCATTCGATCTCCACGACGGTCCCGCGCACCCGTGCAGCGGGGAAGGTCTGGCGCACATCCCCAACCCGCACGCGGAAGTCGCCCATGTCGTAGACGGCGCCGTTGGGCACTGCGACGGTCAGGCGGTGGCACCAGAAGGGCTGGCATGCGTAGGTGAAGTGTTGGAAGAGGGTGTTGTACGCGGAGGGCGGGACGGAAGTCATGCGCATTGCGTCGGGGGTAGGAGGGACTGGCGCGGCTGCATTATTGCCCGTGGACTGGGGGGTCGCGTTGACTACCCCGGGGGAGTTTATGGGATGTGAACCGGGACTCGTAGCTGATGATGGCGGGACCGGCGACGCAGCGTTCGGTGGGTGGAAGGGTTTCTCCAGCGGCTCGGACGTGTAAATGAACCCGTGCTGTGGGTAGTGCGACAGCGAGAGGAACTGCATGTATCGGGGCTTGGAGGTCTGCTGTGCGGGATTGGCGGAGGCGGGGAGACACCCGGGGGTGTCGCGCATCAGCTTGTGCTCCAGGGCCCAGCGTCCAATCGGGGTGAGGTCTTCATCGACGAAGGCGGAGCGCAGACGCTCGGTGATGGTGCCCAGTGCCGTGGAGGCGTTGGGGTGGGAGGGGACGAAGTAGACCCTGGAGGGATGGATCAGTGGGTGTTTGGGGAAGGATAGAGTGGCTATTACCCGGTGACAGGCATGACTCTCTCAGCCGGGATCGAGCGGCAGGTGAATCATCTCTGGCATGACTGGAGATATCCCGCGCTCGCCGTGTTGTTCTGGGCTGCGCTCGTCGAGTGCAAACAGTGCAAACATTGGCCACCATCGGTGGCTGTTTCATCCCGGTGGCGCTGCACCCTGCCAAGAGTGCCTCTGACGGAATCCCTAACCCAGTCCTTCTAGCGCTTCCACCAACAGTGGGTAACTATGCCTTGGCTTTGACCCCTGTGAGGATTACGATTAGTACATACTCTATCACCATCAATCATCCTTATTTATTATTCTTATTCCCACCACCACATCGCCCTTAGTGCGTGATGCCTGAGGTTTTCCAGCCCGATTTCTGAGCTGACCCTGTACATATGGCCTGTATTGTCCCCTTCTTCCCTCGCATGCCAATCGCCACCAATTGAAACCGCCTCCTTGACGATCACGAGAGACAAGGCCACTCAGGCATCTGATCCACCCAGCATCACTCCACATGGCGTCCGCAGAGCCTTATTTCATCCCTGGATTGCGACCCTAAAAAGAACTCGAAACCCCCCCAGCTTCTCATGACACCACTGCTGTTGATTTGATTCTGTTCGCTCGCAATTGATTGGGAGTTACTACTCCGTTTTGCATGCTGCTGTTTCCCGACCCTACTCATGTCACTCCTTCACTGAGTCGCCCGTCGCCACCATGTTCTACCGACGACGGAGTAAACAGAACCTCACCGTAACGGTCGTCCTCATTTTCCTCGGCTATTTCGTCTACAACCGGTTCCTTCACGGCCCAATTCACCCACCAGAACCCGTTCGCGGCCAGCCTCCCAAGGAAGGCCAACAACATTGGGCCAAGCACCCGTACAACCACCCTGTCGACTCCTACCTCGCCTTGCCGACCAAATACTCTCCCCTCCCGAAGATCCAACACGATTTCCCCAGCGAATCATGGAGCCAACGATCTGCACGAGTCAAGAAGCAAAGCGCAGTCAAGGAAGCGTTTCTCCACGCGTGGAATGGATACAAAACACATGCCTGGTCTCGGGACGAAGTCAGCCCAGAAACTGGTGGGTTTCGGGACCCCTTCAGTGGGTGGGGAGCCACGCTGGTCGATTCGCTGGACACTCTGATCATCATGGGACTGGATAAGGAATTCAATGAGGCGCTCGTGGCTCTGGAGGATATCGATTTCACCATCACCAGACAGCACGATATCAACGTCTTCGAGACCGTCATCCGATATGTGGGTGGTTTTATGGCTGCGTACGACCTGAGCATGGGCAAACACCCGATCCTCCTCAAAAAGGCCGTCGAGCTCTCGGACATGCTATACGATTGTTTTGACACGAAAAACCGAATGCCTCAGGCGCGTTGGAACTGGGCCACGTAAGATTCTCCGGCTGGCATTGCAATCCGTGATCTAACCATCGATAGGTCGATCCAAGGCGGAGAAATTCGCCCGGGTTCTTCAACGGTCATGGCAGAGCTTGGTTCTTTCTCGGTGGAATTCACCCGTCTCACGCAACTGACCGGCGATCTGAAGTACTACGATGCTGCCCAGCGCATTATGAACGAGCTGGATCGCGCCCAGGAAACCACCTACTTGCCTGGCTTGTGGCCCAAGTTCGTCGATGCGAACTCATTGACATTTACGCGAAATGATTTCGGCATCGGCGCCTGTGCGGATTCCACCTACGAGTACCTTCCGAAGCAGCATATCATGGTTGGAGGCGCAAGCGACCAGTACCGCCGCATGTACGAATCCGCCATGGATGCGATCAAAAAGCACATCATCTTCCGCGCCATGACCAAAGACGAGGACCAGCACATTTTGTTCCCCGCCGATCTCAAAGTAAATACCGCCAAGGGGACCATTTCGTCACACATTTACTCTGCAATGCATCTCAGTTGTTTCATCGGCGCGACCATCGGCCTCGGCGCGAAGCTTTTCAACCGTCCAGAGGATATGTACTATGCTCGTGGACTGACCGATGGCTGCATCTGGGCTTACGATGCGTTCCCCCACGGCGTCATGGCCGAAGAGTTTAAAGTGGTCCCTTGCGACAACATGGACAGCTGTGCCTGGGACGAGAAGAAGTGGTTGGATACAATTTCTTCCGATACCGAGCATGCAAGAAGCAGAGTCAAATCCGAGAAACTCCCGCCGGGAGTCATCAACGTTCGCGATTCAAATTACAAACTCAGGTTTGTCTCCCTCCCGCCTTTTTTGTGTTATTGTGGCCACGCGCTAATCCCTCTCCTTTTGCCTTTCCAGACCCGAGGCCATCGAATCCGTCTTCTACATGTGGCGCATCTCAGGAGACCAGTTCTACCAAGAC